GAGTTGCGCTTAAGAAATCCAAGAATTTGGGCTGCTTTCGCTACAGTACTATCGACCTGTGTTGTAAACTTAAGCTTATTGTCTAGTATTATGCCCAAGTCATATATCTCATTAACCTTAGACAGGGGGCACCCATTTATAAGGTAACATGTAGTTATAGGATTGACCTTTTTAGTAAAACTAATGTGGTAGCATTTACTTCCATTAAGAGTCATGTCGTTGTCTTCACACCATGAGCAAATATTAAGAAGATAATATTGAAGTAGAACTGAGTCTGATTAATTACGTATACATTTCATCATCATATATCAACCCAGAGACGCCCACTGCTGCATCCAGCGGCTTCCCGCGGCCTTCACCAGATCGTCGGTCCACCTTGTGGGGGGCCTACCAACACTGCGTCTCCCGGTACCCGGTCGTCACTCCAAGACTTCATGAAACAAAGACGAAACGACGGTGCGTCATGTACTCGCCGTTTATATTGATGCCAAGTCCTTTCCAGTCCAAAAGCTTAAACACATCCTCCAGTGCGGCAGTGAACAGTTTCGGCGATATAACATCGCCCTGTCTCACTCCACGCTGAAGTCGTATTGCTTTCGAGTTTTGGTTCTGGAGCCGAACTGACTTGGTGGCGTTTTCATACAGTGACTGATTGCAGTATCGATACATCCAAGTACTGACTTGGATGTATCGATAATCTATTCGGCACCTCTGGAGTGACCTAAGCACGGCCCAAGTCTCGACAGAGTCAAAAGCTTTCTCATAGTCCACAAACGCCAAGCACAGTGGCAGATTATACTCCTCGGTCTTCTGTATAACCCACAAACTATAACCTGTTGCAGCGTATGAATGTGGTCTATGGTACTGTAAACTTTTCGGAAACCGGCTTGTTCGGGAGGCTGGAAGTCGCCAAATCTACGTGCTAGAAGATTCGTGATGACTCTCGAAAACAGCTTGTTCACGTGACTCAGAAGCGTGATGGGTCTGCAATTCTTCAATTGAGCCCTGACGCCCTTTTTGAAGAAAAGCACCACCACGCCCCTTTGCCATGCTTCTGGCGTCTTACCCTCGAGTAGACGGAGCTATAATAATAAATAATAATAATCTTTATTTCACTTTTAAAATTACATCCCATATATCCCAAACTTTGATTGTAATTCGTAGGTCACGTATATTTACTATCTTCGAGAGGTTTCCAGGTATTAAAATTTAGATTAAAATCTCCCAAAATTAAAACATTTTCTGTTTGGTTTAAGACCATATCGACGTTATCAAGAAATCTTTGTTGACTTTCTAATTTCACTGGTGGTGGCAAATAATACAGCACAAATGGAACAAGTTTTTTTACACTGTTCATCTGACTTTGCACATTAACCCACAATCGAATCGTACTCACAATCGAACTTTTTATCCAAACTTTTTATGAGAGTCGACTTTTTTCAAGATCGACCTTCGTTCTCTCAAATTGATTGTTAAAAAAAGTCATCGAGTCTCTAAATTCAGTAAATTGGTCGGTTATGTTCCTTAGGTGTGCAAAGATGGTACGCTCAATTGTAGATTGAAGTATATCTATCCACTCTTGTCGCGGCATTCCGTGACACTGGTCGCCGTCTCCGCAAACCTTAGTCAAGGCTGAGGCTGCAGAAACATCGACGTGTATCGGTTGAGAAAATTTGGGCTTTGAGGTTTCCCTTTTTCTAACAGTTACATTATCCACTCATACTTCACTTTCCATGTTAGAGTGTGCTGTCGATTTTGCAGGTGTGTTGCTATTGTCTGCCTAAGACAAACGACCGACACACTCAGGACACTTCCAATCACGCCTGCGATCCTGGTTTGGTCCGTAGAATGCCTGGAAATGCTGCGCAAAAATGCTAATGCACTGGATGTCGTATTTCAGCTCATACAACACACAAAAGGAATTCTTTGTTCTGTATGGTGTTGCGACAGGCAGCACATTTTCCCATAGTTAGGCGTCATTTTACTAAAATAATTGTTTAAATAAGAAATATCTAATAATCTCAGCTCAATTTTATTTATAATTATTTATCAGGCTCCTTTCCAATATTCTCAGAAATTTCCTCAAAAGTGAACAAAATTGAATGCAGTGGTACTATTGTCTATAAACGGCAATAGGGTATTTGACACTATTAAATATAAGTTGCGTATTATGGTCATCCTGTTAAATCATAATCTAATAAAGTTTATTTCTTAGAATGTGCAGATAAAAAATCTTCATCTTTAGTAAAATTACATAAAGAAAATGCAACATTTTTAGGAATTTCTAATGAATGACGAAAACGCCCTGTAATCGGTTATCGTCGCAACCAATAATGTTCTGTTTACCGGCATGTAACGTCATACATTACACATCAATGTTATCATTAGAGATACGAAAAATGTGTATTTATACATACAATTTGAAGCTTACTTCTATAAAAAAGCCAGAGTATATACAAATATAAAACAAAAAAATTAAATTCAATTTCTCTTCTGTAATACTATTTGTTTACTTCGTAAATAAATAGTTGTTAAATAGGTATTGTCGCCTTGACATATTTACCGGCATGTGACGTCACAAATACCACGTGATCAGCGCCATTACATAGAGCAGCGTGTTTTGCGCGATATTGCATTTTTTTAACAATTATTTTCATCATACATAGAACAGATTCTCATGAAATATATTGACAGTGTATTTATAATGTATCAAACAACCATTTAAATTAGTTTTCAGAAAAGCGTCAAAATCCCTATTTCATACTTTTTTCTCCCAATATTTTGTTAATTTATTCTATAATTTCTAATAGGTCTCTAGGTAGACGTAGTCTTCTTCCATTGATAATAATCTTAGTTTAATAGTCAAATCAATTTAAAAAGGAACTTATTGCCTTTAAATAGGTATTCTCTGAACTCCAAATAAAATAATAATTTGTAAGATAAATAGACTTATGTATTTTCTTGATAAATATTTAAACAGAAGTAACAAACTGACAAATAACAAAGAATATAAAGAGAAAAACAAAGTGGCCTATCAAAAGATATATGAAAGAAGGTTGACGTGTAAACTAAATAGTTCCAACAATTTAGTCAATGAGTTTTAATTAAATTTTTGTTATAAAAAAAACTAATTATTATATTTAAACTTTTGTTTGATATTTAATTATTATCACGTCGTAGTTTCCTTTTTTATATTTGGGTCTAAACAAAGTAATACAGTTATATACATATAGGTATAAAAAAATAAGACAGTATTTATTAACGTATTTATACATACACACACAAAACACACACATAAACACACAAACTCCTACATAACATATGTATTTCACACTCATTTCGCACACCACAATCTCTTTTATTACTTTTTATATATTATATATCACTTATATAATTTCCGCCTGGTTCAGGATTGGAGAGGCTGGTTATCTGTCATACAGTTCTATTAGTAAAGATACCAGTCTCACGCATAGATTATAAAATTGTTCTACTTAGATTTTTAAGGAGGCTACTATACTGTGATATCTGTGTGAGAGAACAAATAAACTTTATTATTATTATATTAGGAAAGAAAACTGGTTGTTTATTTCATTTCGTATTTGATTAGATACGTCAAAATTTAGTTTCTTAAAAGATTAGTACCTGTATGACTAAGCTGCACTCGGTAATTTTATTAAATTTAAAAAGATTAAACCTAATTAAATCGAATTATCGGCTCTGTAAACCCCTTACTTAATGTCATGAAAATTGTTGCAGCCGTTTCTGAGAATATAATACAGTAATTGCTATTTTAAAGGTTTTAGATAAAAAAAAAAATAATGCCTTTGCCCGTCTCAAACAAGGGGGACAAATGAACAAAAATAAAAGTTATGAGGAAGTATTAAAAAAAAATTAGTTCCCGAAATCAAACTAGATTTCGCTACGGTACGTTCTTGATTTCTCCATGACAACCTTTTCGGTGTTCTTTCAAGCTGAAAAGTAAATTAGTTTTCAAAACTCAACAAACAACTCATATTCTATTTGTCCTGTTTCGTATTTGTATTGATATCTAAGTTTCGAACTTGATCTCGCGGTCTTGATATTTATAAAATCGCGAGATCTCGCCCGAGTCCCAATCTCGTGAAATGGCATGCCTACTTAGGATAAGGAGGTTTCATACCTTAAAAATAGTATACAAAATCTCAAAAGAGCCATATCATGACAGAAACTTTTATAAACACATTTTTATAAATTCCTCGTTTGTGTGTAATAATTTTACTGCTTTCTTTTTTTTCTCTCTCTTTCAAAATACTTCCTCATTCAAAGAAAGTTTTTCCATTATACGTACGACACAGTAAGGCTAGCAAAACTTTTTTAAATTTCCTCATTTGTCCCCCGAAAATAACCGTTATTTATAAAAATAAATTTAATTATTTTGTATATCTGTGTTTAGGTCAAAGGATGACAAATTTTACAAGATTTGGTCCAGTAGATTCGGAAAAAAGGCTTTATGTAAGGAACTTTAATAAAGTCAATTTCATATTTGACGGAGAATCTAGATTAGATCTATTAATTTTATGTGTAAACTTTACATCTACCTAGGAAAATTTTATACTTTTTTGTGCTTTAATGTTCTACTCTTGTACTAATGTTCTAAACTTGTCTCCTTTATTTTGTAGTTGTGTGGACACCCTATTAGAAAGAGAGGAGGGGGACCTAAGGAATGAAATAGAAAACATTCAAGGTCAAATTTTTATGCTTCAAGTACCTACTTGAAGCATAAAAATTTAAAAAACTCCTTCATACCTATGAAGGAGTTTGGTCTCCAGTTATTTCTTTAGCTTCATGGTTGGAACCATAAGTATATATACATTTTACTCTTTGGAACAATGCCAAAACCATCTCTTATTGGTCTGTGGCCTAAACCCAACAGTATCTTCTTCTTAGTGGAGCTACTAAGTCTGTGTTAGTGGAGTAAATGTGTTCTGTGTCTTAGTTTGTGTCTGTGCCCAACATCAATAAATATAGAATGTGCCTTTAATTTATAATTATTTTTAAATGACATAAAAAAATGCGAGTTATGAAAGCATGTTTAATATGTCTCACCACAGATAGCAAAATGTATAATATGGATAAACAACAATTACGACAGCAATATAATTTGTTAACAGGTCTTCAGGTAACGAACCAAAATTTACGTCAATACAAACAAACTTAAAAAATATGCATTTCTAAAAGTTTTAGTTTTTATTATTTTCAGATAAAGAAAGGAAATGGAATGCCGGAATATTTATGTTTTCAATGCATTAGCTATGTTATGAAATTTGTAAAGTTTCGAGATAAATGTCACAGAGCTTATTTTGTTTTGCAAGAATTGCTGCATAAAGAGAAGGAGGTTAGTATTACCTATTAAATTACCAAATGGATAACTTAAAAAATAGCATGATAGCCTGATGCAAATACCAACTTTCAGTATGGAGATCAAACATTAAAACATAACAGCTGTTTTTTTTTATTATGAGGGTATCATATATTTCCTTTTTAATATATGAATGAATCCAACAACATTTTCTTTCGGATTATTAGTAAAAAAAATAAAATTCCTTTAATTTCTCAATGGCATGATAAGCAAAATACATATAAAGTGACCTCTACGTATTTTGAAACTGTTATTTCCATGAAATACATAAATCTTCCTAATATTATATTTGGAAACTCATATTTTTATATAACATGGACAATTAATATTTAAAAAATATTTACATGGGAATATTGCATACCAATAGCCTTATAATTATTTATGAAGCAAAAATATAACATGCAATATATGCAGCAGACTTTTGAGTTAAATACTACTAAAAATCATTAAAATCCACTCGGAAATACTTAAAATAAAAGTTTTATCATATTAAACTACCAAGAAAAAAAAGTTTAAAATGAACTATTTCCTGTGAATTTTTTAGTTGGATTTCAGTAATTTTCATTGTCGCTATGATAAATAAAACCAAAATTTGTGAAAAAAGTTGTGTTAGTAATTTTTGTGTGAAGGAAATTTAGGTTTTTTGACTTGATGTTTTTTTTATACCTTCTGTAGCTAAAATGTTTATTTTTCTTATAGGATTTTTTAATATAGTCTCTTGTAATTGGTTCACAAACTCGATTAAAAATATTCCAGGCTTATATCAAATTATTTCCGTTTTTCTCGTATTTGTATCAAGCTATGAGGTTTAATGTTAATCAATTATTTTTAATGTTCTTCAGTTTCTCCAAATCTTTGACATGTGTAGATAAAGCACAGTGTCTATTTGAATTTATCATGTCAGTATATGTTAGTTAACATTGATTATATTTACCTCTATTCTTCTACATACTTAATTTATAGAGCTACACTGGTCATCTTTGATTATAATCAAAAACTTTGTCATAATTAATATCAAGGTCAAGTCAACAAAAAAAAAAAATACTTTTTACTTGTTACCTACTCAAATAAATGAATAATTAATATTATTAATCAAAATATTTGGTTACAGGTCAAAATGAATAGATTGAACACTGTGGACTGTGATTTAATTAACATTACACCTTCTTTATCGTACTTGGACATAAATAAGGCTCATTATGAGGAAATTAAATTTCAATGGTTTAAAGATAACAGATCTGTATATTTGACTAAAGATATTATACCAATCGTTACATACACCACTCTTAGTAAAGATCAAAATTTTGAAGAAATCAACCCAAATGATAATGTTAAAGTTTTACAAAGTGAAGAAGATATAAAAGAAGAGCACATAGCAGAGGTAGATTTCAATGTCACACTGAGTGATCCATGTAATGATGAAACTAATATAGTATGTAAACAAACTTCATCTAGTTTTAATGCTGATAATACTCAAATATCTGTTGATAATGATAATTATATGGATAGTGATAATGAGGTGACCAATCAAAATGTAGCTCACAATAATGAAAATAATTCAAACAAATCACATGATCAAGAACCTGATGGCGATGTCCTCGAAACAGAGTATGCGACAATGCACCCAATCTCAAAAAATGAAGCACAAGCAGCTGTTGAAATTTTAAAATTGTTAAGTGTTGGAAGATTTAAATGCCATATGTGTAATAAACCTTATAATAATGAAAATCGTTTAAAAATACATATGCGTATGCATAATCCGGTATATACATTTTATTTATAATTTATGAGTCTTTGTGTATTATACACTTATTATGTTGTCTTATTTAATAAGATTTTGTACTTTTCAGCATGTAAGTGGTACTTACTGTTGTGAATTGTGTAATTATTATTACAAATCAAGTTTTTTGTTGAAAACGCACATGACGGAAAAGCATATGTACAAATATTTGTGTAAAAAGTGCTCTGAAGTGAGTTTTGATAGGTAAGTAGTACATATTCTATACCTATGTTTGCAATTTGACATAATGTCACAGTGTTTTAGTTAATAGTCTTTGTCATGGATGAAGAGAAAACAGTATAATTAGAGTAGTAATGAAGTAAATTTTATCTAAATACAAATTTTCAATTGTATTATTTTCAGAACGTCAGCAAAACAGCACTACATATGGACCCACATGCATAAACGTGACAAGACAAAAGAAGAATGGAAGGAATCTCGACCTAAATGGCTAAGTAATAAAGGTGGTGCACGTCTAAAAGGTATTTGTGCAATCCGTTCAAGCAGAAAGCCTACTAAACTACCTGAAGACTTCCTCGTTTACAGCCCAGTGAGTCAAGAAGAACAATACTCTTTGGTTCAGGAGAGGAAAAACACTAGGAATTATATAGAGGCTAGGTATAAGTGTGAACTATGCTTCAGGGGTTATAGAGAAGAAGTCACATTTAAGAAACATATGAGGAAACATGATCCTGTAAGTGTAAATGTTTCATCAAGAATTATTTTATTATTAAATATATAAAATATTTATTGTTCAAAAGATTTAATCTATACACTTTTCCTATTTCTTTCTCAAGCTATACTTAAAGCTCAATTTTCCGACCCAGGCACTATTATCTCTTCAATGTGTTAAGTAACATAGTTAAAAAAATCACATATGTACCCATATGATGATTTGTGATTGGGACTAATACTTTCATTGAACTTTATTAAAAATCTTAAATCAAATTCTTAAACAGATTAAGGATACTTAACAAATTATTAAAAAATAATTATGAAGCAAGTTATTTTTTTTTTCAACCATTTTCTTCATTTCTACTTAATTCATTATCGTTTTCAGGCATGTTCAGGTAATGCACAGTGCGATATGTGTAAATTATACTTCAAAGATGCAAGAAAAATGTACAGACATATGAACATAACACATTTATACAAATATACTTGTCAAATGTGCAGTTTTGTGTGTTACAACAAGTAAATATCATTCTTTTATGTTTACTTTAATCATAAATATTATCATTGAAACCATTGTTAGTTTATAACTTTATTAGCTTCCAAGAATTATCGTAATCTAAGGTTTTGATTACCAAACCTAGGACATCTAGTATGCTTACATATTACAGTGACATATTCATAAGATTGCGTATACTTAAAAAAAATCTTATTACTAATCTAATCTTTTGAGGTGTCTCTATATTATAATATATTATTTTTTACAGAAGTCAAGCGCACATGCATTATAAATGGCACAAAAACGTAACCTATTCATGCCCCCATTGTTCAAAAGTGTTCAAGTAAGTACTCGCAATACTTTATGCAATGTGTTCTTTAAATTATTATCGAAGAAAAAATAGCGTGTTATTGCTGTATCATATGTTACTATTTGTTTACGTATTGTAGTAATATTAAGTGAACATTTTTAGTATTTTCTTGAACTTTATAATCTTTACGGGTGCGGATTTCATACGCGTGCGGGATGGACCGCTCTCAGAAATTTGAACGCAGCGTGAGACACGTCCTACGATGTAGTTTTCTACGGTCTGGTTACCTAAGATTTCGCCCGCCGATCTCGCGTGCATATTGGATGCATAACAATAAATGCTTTGTAGATGTCTCACATAGGGAATGCAATCTTGCGAGATTGGAACTCGAGCGAGATCTAGCGAGTTTATGAATGCCACTCACTCACTTTTGTGTGTTTACTGTTTTACTGTAATATTTATTCAAATCACAATATTTGAATAAATTAGCAAAAAATACAGGAATTACGCGTATAATGAAATGAACATTTATTTATACGGGTATTTTGAATAAAGTTTTATGAATTTATTATAGTTTGACGCAATTATATTTTTTGGGAACTAATATTTTGTGCTGCTTTTTAAATATTCGAGATGTTATTATGATCTGTTGAAAAACATATTGAGCAGTTATTTAATGAATGGCGGTTGATTAATTATTGCGACAGTAAAACATGGAAAGTAATAAAAAATCAATTAGTCGGTTATTTATTTTATCATACAATGTCAATTCTAAAAATAATTGAGCGATCCAATAACTGAATGAGCAGTAAAAATGATGGAATGAGCGGTTCGATAAATAGTTCGGTAGATCATAGCGAGCGGTGACACCCGAATTCAAATACATTACAACACAAAAAAGAGAGGTAAATTTTCGTTGTTAGGCGTAGCTTATTAGCGAAAGCGCGGGTGGCGGAAGAAATGGTGATCGAGTGGTCCCTAAAGTATACACAGTATCCTTCTGAAAACTATTTTGCAAAATTGCCGGAAATAACTGAAGTACTGGACAGATTCATATAATTGGGCCAAACTATCGAATGAGATTGTAATCATACCTAATAATGATAATGATAGTTTGACGCATTATCAAGTACCTGCTCCAGAAGCTAAAGAATGCGCTATAATTGAAAATTCACCAGAAAATTTTGATGAGTTTAAAGAGAAATTTTGTAATAAATGGGAAGTTATAAAAATCAAATACGAAATGAAATAAACAACCTGTCTTTTCTGCTAATATCAAAGAAAAGTTTAATTATAATATACAGTTTTTTATAACAAAAACACTAAAACTAAACTATTAGTCATTAACTAAGTTGAATTGACTATTAAACTGAGATTATTATCAATGAAAGAAAACTATGTGTACCCAGAGATTTGTTAGAAATAACAAAATATACCAATCAATTTAAAGGCTTATTCGATTCGAATCACACGTCATTATTACGAATAATTTTGAAAGTAGTTTCTTAAGAAGCACAAAATGTTCAAAGAATCTTTGCAATTCGTCTTATTATCGGACTCGCATAAATTCACGCTGCCGCACTTAGAATAAATAGCTTTTATGCTCGAGATCAAAATCGCTAAAAAAGGCCGAGATCTCGCGAGAACGAGATCTACCGTGAACGAGATTGCATTCCCTAGTCTCGCATGCGAGGCAATGCCGTGTGATGAAATCCGTTTGCTAAAGACCCTAAGTAGTCAAAAATATAAACACATTCATGATTTGATTTTTTTGTAATTTACAATGTTTGTTCATCTTATTATGAAACAATGAACGAGTATAAAATAAGTTTTGAAATGGAAAATATATTATATTTTAATCCATCCTTTCCCATGAATGTTTTTCTAATTATCTTTTTTAATTTTAGAAAAGCATCAACAAGACTAACCCATATTAGGATCAAACACCCATCGTCGTTCATATGTAACCTGTGCGGTCACAGCTTTGTTAGCGATTCGGGACTCTACTGCCATAAGCAAATCTCGCACACCGCTGAGGTGAGACATAATATAAGCCGAAGGAGACGAATGCAACGCAACGAATTTTCTGTAATCCTAAACTTTAGCATGTCAATTATAAATCGTATTCGAATTATTTACTGTTAAAAACAAAAGAAAGTTTTCAAACAAATGTTAACCTTATTTGGTAGGAAGTAAAGGACAGTTCGCAAATCGCCTTGGATACGAACAGCTCATTATATTGCGCGGAATGCAACATGCTATTCATGAACCAAACCGCGTACGACACTCATCTGGGCAGCTCCAAGAAACATGTCCTTATGAACTAGTAAGTACAACAGCTGAAATTGAACCTTAAAAATACTTTTTAAAGTTATTGTGAAGACAATCAACTCAATTCAATTTTTCAACGGTTTTCTTTGACTCGGTACACCTTCTGTTACGAATACCTTAGGGTAAGTTCCCAAAAATGATGTTTTTTTTATTAAGAATTATTGTAAAAACTTTAATGTATCTAATGTTAATTAATAATGATTTATATTTAAAAATCTATATGTGAACAGAAATTTGTTTTTACATTATTTGTGCCTGTCTCACGTCAAACAACACACCAATCGTGAACAAAAAAAAGAGTGCGTGACGTCGTTTAAAAGTATTTGACAGTTGTCCAATCCCCTAGTGCATATTCCATATTATTTCAAATCCAAGATGGCTGCCGTTACAAAAACGTACGCTTCTCGTTTAGCTCGATAAAGACATCGCAGCGTGAGAAGTCGCGAGGTGTACGCGAATCGGTGAACTGTGAGAAGCGCGCAGCGGGACGGCCGCGGCGTGCCGGCGGCACCTCGGAGATACTCAACAATGGTGTAGCCACCTCTACCAACTGCGAGATTGTGAGTACTAGATGTACTCGTACCAATAGAGTTGGATCCTACAAGCGAAAATACAGGTTTCTGTTATATTTTCGGAAAATATGAACCGTTCTTAGGTCTAGTTTGTTATAAAGTTATTTTCTATTTTCGGAAAATATAAACTGTTCTTCAGCTAAGTTATTGATATTTAATGAATGTCTTAATAAAAAACATCGTAACATCTGTCGTACGACGATTTCAAGGTGTAGCTGATTTTGAGCTCTTCGATATTCAGTCGAGTCAGTGTAGATTTTTTTAAGTTATTTGCTACGAATATATCATTAACGTCACCAGCCTATCTCCTAATGTTCCACTGCTGGGCTTCCCTATGGATGGAATAGAATATGGAGAATTAACCATGACCAACCCTCCGCAGGGGCTCAGTACGGATTGGTGGGTATTAACGACTGCAGATAATGTGCCTTTCGAAGAACGGAGGAGCTCGAGATAGTAAATTTTTGGTAACCCATCTTATGACAGCCCTTGCAAAAACTGCTTTACAACCATATCGTTGACCACTGTGCCATCAAGTTTCTCTTTAATAAAAAAAAAAAATGTACTTATTTCTTTTTCTATACTCACTACTTATCTTTGAGCTCAGCTCGTGTCATTCGTTGGATTGCTATCTCGTATGATTGGTGGTCTCCTAATAGTGTATTGTAATGTACAGTGCAACAAGTTTCTGGTGAACGATGTGCAAGCGCGTAAACATTACGAGTCGGAGCACCCCGGGGCGGAGTTCCTCAAGCGGTACATGTGCGACGTCTGCGGTCACACCACCAAGGTAAACGAAACATATACACAAACACACATACACAATATACATTTAGTACTAGACTAGATGTCCCGGTGTACTTCGTATCACCTCTCACCGTTTAAACCTTCCCTGGACTACAACGACAAACATTTAAAAAGCAAAATGAACTTCTAATATATACGTGGCCTATTATAATGACCCAACTGTATTATTATGAGACAGCTTTGTGTCTTTGGCAAGATGGATTATGATTTATATTAAAATTTGAAGCCGCTACGTACATGGTATTATTAACGGCATTTTAGCAACTTTAGAATTGCTAAATCAACAAATTAATCTAAACATTTTTAATGAAAACTGCTTAAAAAATCCACATTGTCCTTGGTACTCTGAAATAGGATTCGAACCATGGACCTTTCCAAATCCTTTCGACTGCTCTTGGATTGCGAAAGTATATTTTCCAGTGTAATTCAAAAACTGATCAAATATAATAATAAAAATATATTAACAATAAAAAATATTGTAACATATAGAACTGGGTTTTTAATTACTTGGGTAGGTACGTGATTCTTTGGCGTTTGGTGTAATATGTGTTTTATGTTGTTGTAGCAATACGCAAATTTAATGGTGCATATGCGCACGCATACAAATGAGAAGCCCTATGAGTGTCCGCAGTGCGACCGACGGTTCAGTATGCCCAGCAACCGCGATAGACATCTCGTGGTGAGTATTCTGTATATATTCAAAATATATCGCAATTCCTTTGAATTTGACATTTGAAAGATATTCACGAATTGCACAGTACAACTGTTTGACAAATGACAGAGATAGCGATATTTTTAATTTAACGTTAATTGGAATTGTTTAAAACAAGCGTTAGACGCAAATATATTTGAAAGCTATTGACGTATGTTAAACGAGTTTTATGCTAACTTTGTCGGGTAAGTTTTTATTATGTTTCTTGATTATTTAAAAACATAATTCGTTCCAAAATGTACTTTTTTAAAGGTATGATAGAGAGATAAAAGATATATAATTCCATAAATCCCTATCACAACTGCTAAACCGTTTAAATGGATTGCGATACACTTTAAAATTGGACAATTTGCCCACCTAACTCTTGCGGGATAGATAGATAGATAGATTCCAAAGTGGTCGATATCGTTCTCGGAGATCGACATAATAATAGAACTGATTTCGGGGGTTATGTGAGAAATAATATATAGTAGTCTCGAAACCGAGAAACTATCGCATACGGTAATATGGGCATACGGTAATTATTTTTTAATACTGCTTAATAGTACTATGTATTTCTGTAGGTGCACACCGGCGAGAAAAGGTACCAATGCCAACATTGTCACAGGCGTTTCACTCAAAGCAGTGCAGTAAAGCTTCACATACAAACCGTCCATCTGAAGATCCCATACGCACCATGGGATAAAAAGAACAGGAAACGACGCAAAGAACTAGAGGGCACGTCCGCTCCGGTCAGTGCCGTAGATTCTAGTATACAGCCGCAACAGAAAATCATATTAGATCAAGATTATTTAAACGCTTATATTAATTATAATGATGAATAGACTTTAAACAACTACCAAGAGAGTATTTACAAATAAAGACCTTCAGGAGATTATTTTTTAAAGCCTAAAGAGACTGCTCGTTGTAACAAATAACGCCCTCTATTGTTATAAATAAAAAAGTTCTGTGTCAACGCCACACTTCAAAGTGAGGTCTTATTTTGTTTTAGTTTATTTGCGACGGCGGCAACGTTCGGACCTGTGCAATGTTACAGTGCGTATTAAAACTGCAAATATAACACTATCGGAATAAAAATGTATATGTTAGAATATTTTCGGGTTGTAAATGTCATTTTACAATGTCTATAATTAGTTTTGTTTCTGAATCAACCAAAGCCGTGTACAAGAACATGTAGGTTTGTATCGGTCTGAGTATTTAATATGTATGTTGACTGTCTATTTACAACAAAATGCGTTCCCTGAAAGTGACAAAGTAAACCATAAAACTGAATTACTTAAATCAGTGATTGGATATTAATAGTTTTTTTATAGAGATAAAGGTTGGAATATACCATCGACTTCGAATCCAGTAATTAGTCAATTTCTTTATTAGTCAAGTTCTTTCCGAAAACATTAAAATTATAGGGAGTAATTACTTTCTTGTCAGAGTTTGTTTCGCCAGTTCTTCTCAGACAAGACTCACAAATTTTGGTGGTAGTTTATATTAGTCAATGGAAAATAAACAAAGAATAAATTAAATAATGCAAACTTTTTTTAAATAGTAATTTAATTAATACATACACTGCCATATGATAAAATTTTAGTATTGTTTGAAGGCTATGTTCTTAATTATAAAAAGTTATCATGTTTAATTCTTAATTTTAAGATTTTATGATAATACTATTGTTTACACTAAAAACCCACCTCTCTAAATAAGGGACCGGACAATTCTCTAAAAACTTTTTTCAATTAGTCAGTATGTGTGCTTATACCACAAAAATATTTTTTGATATAAATTTAACCTTAATTAAGTATCCAAAATAATGTGCACTTTGAATGTTTCTTTGAACTTTTCCTATATAATTTTACTATCAATTTACCCACAAATGACGTCATGCGCATTGGTTGGTATTTCGTTTGATGTGAGACACACACTACAAATATTGGAAAATATATATTTTTTTGATTGATTTAAAAATAGAAATAATTATTATTTAGCAATGATATTCAGCGAATAATCTTTAACTTTATGAACTTTTTAATCACACACAATTTAATTTTTTAATCCAATTGCCGTCCGGTCTCTTATTATCGACGTATATAATTATACGTTTATTTTACTGGAAAAATAAAATTGACAACACGACTCTATACTTACACAGTTCCGGAGCTCATTTGTCGCCTAGATTATTATTACAAAATACACTCTGTGGTATTATGTTCCTTGGCTGCGACTAAATGGTGTATGGTGCCATGTATGAGTATCGTTTTAGTATGCGAGGCGTTATCTAGTTTTATTATTGATCGAAGGAATGGCCTAGCGCTTCTAATGAGCAAAAGCATAATTTCAGTTAAGATACACACTCATGTTTTTTTTTTTTTCTAAGCGTGATTGTGATTTTTTCTAAGAGAGTGTTGCTCAGCCACGCAGCAAATAAATTTGTATGGAAATTTTCATAAATTTCCCAATACAAACCTAATTGAATTGCTGCTTACAAACAAAAAAAAACAGACACTTTATTTTAAAGTTTCAATGGCGTTTGTAGCAGTTGAAATCAAATATTAAATAGTGATAGTATATTTTTCAAAGTATCTTCAAACTATTATAAATGCAAATTGATCATTTTTTATCTAAATACAATTATCTATATATTTTGCTGGATTATATAAAAATAAATGACACGTCACATGAAGTGTGTGTAAATAAATCAAGAATAAAAGTCTAAAACGAAGTTCGTTGGTTAAGAATTAAGTTTAATGCAAAATGCAAGAACAGTATTGTGGCTATAGTCAATATGATTATTTAATATTTATAGCATTATGTATTATAAAACTTATTACTATTATATAAAAAAATTATGTAATTTTATGATCACAAATGCCACTAATACTAAAAACATTAAAACTTTCGTTTCCAATATTCCTGGTTTTTTCAACAAGCCCTGCAATTCTGTAAAAATCCAAACCCGAATTAGAATTCACTCAGGTGTACGAATTCACTTCAGATAGCGGCATCAAACTTGGCAATAATGTTACGTGGCATAAATGAAGTGAGTTTCGAAATGAAATAGGAGTGGAATATCTGATACGGAAGTGGAATAAATGACATGAATTCGGCCACATGAGTGAATTCGAATTCGGGTCTGGATTTTTACAGAATGCAGGGCAGTATTGTAATTATAACATACATTGCTAAGTTATATTTTATTAGTGCGTGACTTTTATTTATTATGATATAAGGAATTCTCATTGTGTATTTAATTTAAACGATTTTGGATATATAAAAATGATTTTTATAATTTTAAAATGTTTTATTTATTGTGTATAGCGCACAATTAAAAGCCATACCAAATAATAATAAGTAGGTATCCGTGAAATCCATGTCAATCGAATTGGTGTTGAGCACAAATGTATTTTTTTTTGTATTGAAAATCTTAATTCTCTTTATACGAGGAGTTATGGGACGCTGTATAAATATCAATCCAAACAGTTGACATCTGTGTATTCAATCACTTCAACTGATTGCTCCACTTGATTTTAACCACTACCTTAGAAGCATTAAAGTTTAATATCAAGTGGTGAAACTTGACAGATTTGTACAACCTGATGTGCTGACTGTAGATTGTAAATAAAATAACTTTTTCAATAAAGCCAAATTTATTTGTACATTTCTCATAAAGTCACAATAACATCAAATTGATTTTTTTATTGTCACAGTCTTGGCTTATAGCCAATTGACATTCTAGTTTAACAACAGCTTACGTATACCATCTATAGAAAAAGAAATTATTTTCACAATATATATATAAATAAAAAAATATATATTTGTACGAAAATTGATTATCGAATTAGTGATCTAACAAAATTGGAATAACTTTAGAATGTATAAAAAATCACATAATTTAAAGTGTCTAAAATAGCGTGAATAATTCATTAAAATCATTTAAATACTTATAAATAAAACACTTAAAAATCTTTGGAATGTCGTATCCTGTTTAAAAACATAAGAAATAGGTCCCATAAATGGCTTTATGCTTGTTTGAGATTTGCAACATTAATATAATATAAAATAAAAACAATTATAAAATTAAAACAGTCTCAAAGGTAGTTGGAATCGTCAGTATTTCGAAAGGCTATATAAGTTTTATTTTCGCCTCAAGACCAAGATTGTAGATGTTTATTGCGTCGAAGAAGGCGGAATTAACGAATGTTAGAATTGTTTGTACGAACACTAGTGAACTTTCGCACAGAAGTAAAAGCCGAATCGTCAGAATAGGACGCATTACTTACTGCAACTTTTTGTCGCCAGGATGCAGCACTAGCACGGTATACAGTTTTTTATAGACGTCATTCACAGAATAGTGAGCAAAGAGTAAAGTAATAGCGAGTAATATAATATTTTCCAATTTATATTTAGAAAGAGTGTGATTTTATCCAATATAACATCACTGCTGCATGTCTGGATGTAAGAAGGAAGGTCATCGTTCATTTCCAAATGACAAAATCTAGTTTGGTTGCTTAATGTGGTAGTTTTCCCGAGCTTTGGGTAATATTCCCTATTCTAATGTCACTTATCATTAAATTGCGAGGTGGAAGAAGAATTAATTTCGTCCGCCTCCTTCGGTTCTGACTGATCGGCTTCAGCCTTGAAACTATTTATTGTCATATTTAATCGCAACGTTATTGTAAATAAATCCCTGAACCGCTCACTCAATAAGTATGAGTTTCAAATGGTATATTTGATCATACTTAAATTTTGAAAACGGGAGTAGCTGCATTATTTATTTAATAAAACTTATATTTGCAATTTCACAGGTTAAACTTGCTTTAAATTTTATTTAATGCAGCTTTCACTAATAACCGCCAAAAGCCATTTAACTATATAAAAAAATTGTAACCAATCTGGGTGCTTATTGTTTTATCATAAAATCTATTACAATCCCTTTTTTTTTTTTTTTTTTTTTTTTCAGTATGGACTTGTTCCGTTATACTCGGAAATTTTGCCACAATTTGACATTTGATAGATATTAATTTGACGTTACTTTGAATTTTTGAAGGCACGCTTGCGTTTTTGACACATACATTAGATTAAGTTACTAAGTTTTTATCATGTTTCTTAATTAACCATTAAAATTATCATTCGCTCCAAAAGTGACTGCGAATTTGAACGTTACATAATTCCATAAATTGAATGGCTATTCACGGTTTCTATGTCTTTGAAAGGAATTGCGATAGATTTTGAAGACTTAAGCCACTGATGTTTATATAAATTTAGATATTTTTCATCTTTAGGTACGTTTTATAACCGATTTAAACTATTTTTTTTTTTTTAAGTTAAACGTTTTGCCATTTCGCATATACGTGTTTGAAACGTAACAACATTCAATATAATCTAAAGGGCAGTGGACTGATGTTTCTAATAAGTATAAATACGCTAATATAACATGTTACAATCCTTTGTTGAAGAATACTTCTTTCGTCTTGGGGAATTTTTTCTTAGCTATTTCCTGTAAACGAAGAAAAAAATTAGATTTCATTATAATTACAAACAAGCATAATTTCAGTTTATATTTTTTATATTAAATATAAATTATGTGGATTTGATAACATATTTAGATAACACTTTTTAAAGAGTGTCAACAGTAAAATAGCAATTTTTTGCCGAATATTGGGGCTAGATCCCGGACCCTTCTCCCTTCCCCCATAGAGTGTATTACTAAGCAGGTCCTTTTAGAACAGGTATGGAGAGTAGCTCGGTAGTGTAGTGGATAAGCGCCGCCGCCTACGATCGTGGTTGTTAAGCAATTTTCCCATGGGTTGGTGACGGGATAGGTGACCAAAAAATTATTATCTCGAGCTACTCTGTACTTCAGAAGGTACGTTAAGCCGTTTGTTCCGACTGCACTTGCAGTCGTCAATACCCTTCAATCCCCATTAGGCTAGTGTGGAGGATCATATCCGATCCTCCTTAACCATCCATAAGGAAGGCCTGAGTCCTTGCAGTGGGGACGTAAAAAGGATGATGATGAAAAGCCTCGGTTTGTGGTCTTAGAAGCATTTCTCCTGCGCTAGCAAAAATTTTTCGAAAATCCAAAATCCACTTTGTCACTGGCACACTTAGATGGGTCTCGAACCCGTGACCTTTCGCAGTCCGGGCGACTGCTCTAACCACTGAGCTACCCAGGACCTAACAGGACTGACGAATCTTTGAAGCAATTTTTACTTTTTTCGCTACCACAGAAGGTATATTCATCAATGTTCAGGCACACCACCCAATAGCCAAAAAAATATTTTTACAATTATTTAAACTTTCAATAAAGACGAATACTTGTTCTTATTATTATATTTGATCAGTTTTGCATTCACAATGCTGTACTGAAGAATATTCTTAATGAAAAATGCTTTAAAAGAAAAATCCACTTTGTCCCTGACACTCTCGAGGGGAGTCATCTTTATATTTTCCAGTACAGAATTGTGAATGAAAAATTGATCTAATGTGTGGTTTAATATTAAACTCGGGTAAGTCACACCTATAGTCGAAACTGAATTATAAATGTCACTGAATAGGAAATTAAATTTTCTTTATGTTACTTTCCCAAATCACTATAAATCCCTCTATTATGGCTACCACTTTAATACGAAGTAAAACTAGGTAAGTCCATGAACTTTTGTATTTTCGTACTCCGATATATTTTGTTTAGTATACAAAATATATCGGAGTACGAGTCAAACGGGTATGTCCAAATTCAAATACGATTTTATTCCGTAATCACTCTTCTATTCCGTAATCTTATATTTATAAATTATATATTATAGATAAACTCTTATACGTCACTACATAGTATAAAACAAAGTCGCTTTGTGTCTCTATGTCCCTATATATGCTTAAATCTTAAAAACTACGCAACAGATTGCTGAAGTAGTAAATGGAAAATAAAAATCACATTTTGGAAACATCTTCTGGAAGTTCGCTTTCTCTGTCCCTATATGCTTTAATCTTTAAAACAACGCAACAGATATCGAATCGGTTTTTTTTTCATAGTTGGTGGTGATTCAAAAGGAAGGTTTTTATTTATAATACAAGACCACGGAAAGCTAGTAAACATATAAATGTATCAAAAACACATAACGAGAATGCCTATAAATTACCTGCAAGTCCGCCTCCAGCGCGGAGACCGGTATGGAGGCTCGCTGCTCGAATAGTGCGCAGCAGAGGGGCGTCGCGAACGTGACGCACAGCCCGACCAGCACCAGCTGGAAGGGCACCACCGCCATCGGGTAGCGGCAGAACATGCCGCGCCGCGTCGCGTACGCGGTCACCAAAGGGGTCAGCGCTGATACACGACACGTATATCATTAGTTTTTTTTTTAAATTTTTATGGGTAAGGGGGCAGACGAGCAGACAGATCACCTGATGGTAAGTGATTACCGTCGCCCATGGACACCTGCAACACCAGAGGGGCTACAAGCGCGCTGCCGGCCTTGGAAGGGAATAGGGAGGAGTTGGGCCTCCGGTACCCTCACTCACACGACGAAACACAACGCAAGCGTTGCTTCACGTCGGTTTTCTGTGAGGCCGTGGTATCAATTGAGAGCCAGAGCGGGGCCCGGACGCAATCAAATCCCCAAAAAAAAAAAACAAACTACAAACTACCGTCACTGCCAAATTAAGCCAGAGAGGGGTTCGTAGCAAATCAGCAATCCTCCCCACCCCCCGAAACAAAAAAGTCATCCTTTGCTTTCCGAATAACACAATACAACTAGTCTAAACTAGTTTTTATTTCTTGAATAATTTACACGACACGTATATGATCAGTGCCGAATTGAGAGCCAGAGCAGGGCCCGGACGCAATCAAACCACCCCCCCCCCCCCCTCCCCCACACCCAAAAACAAACTACCATCACTGTCGAATTAAGTCAGAGAGGGGCCCGTAGCAAATCACCAATCCTCCCCACCCCGCGAAACAGAAAAGTCATCCTTTGCTTTACGAATAACACAATACAACTATTCTTAACCTTGTTTTTATTTCTTGAATAATTTAAATTTGACTTGAAAATTTCATCTTTTGCTTTCCGAATACAATCCAACAAATCTGTGACTTGTTTATCAGTTTATTTTCATACTTCAAAATACGAGTAGTCAAAAGCGTAGCTTATTTTATTTCTTGCATTATTTAAATCTGACTTGAAAAATTAATTAATTGGCCCTAATTCAACATCGGTAATACCATGTTTTATTGCAAATAAATTATTATTATCGTCGCCAACGCCACAAAGAGGCGAAACCTCATTTTATAAAATTATACGGGAGAGCAAAAATCGTTTTTTTTTTCGGATGCCGCTCTTATTTTCGCCGTATTTCAAAGAAAAACGATTAAAATACTAAAAATGGAGCATTTCTATACATATAACACATTTTTTGACCGCTTGTATGACGTTCACCCCTATGCGGAGGTGGCGACGCATTGTGCCTATACCCTAACACTTCCCAAAACATTCGGGTTTTTATAATTTGTTTATAAAGAAACTAGCAAAAAGATCGTACCTATATATAATTACTTTTACGACTGAATCGAAAAACACTTGTAGTGTACAAATTATAGATCTTTTAGCATTCGACACTTTTTAGCTCCATAAATATGTTTATTTAACGTGAACTCGACGAATACATATCGTATTTACAAAATAATTGTAAAAAGATATGTCTCGATCGCCTTCAATCAATCTTAAGCATTATGATAAGTCTTTTAAAGTTATTAAATTGCTAATATGCCATCAAACTAGCTCTTATATAACTATCTTTCGACACTTATAGCATTAGAGTAAAAGCTGGATATTCAACAAAATAGTATCTCAATTACTATATCAGTAAGTACTAATATGATATGATAGCTTTCTGAACAGCTTTCATTCGACTGTTAGTTGTTTAGCATGATCTATCATAGCTTCTTTAAATATTATTTGAAAGCTCCTATTCAGCTTGATAGTGGAATGAAAGTTGAATAAAATCTTTTGTCAGGTAATTGCGAAGCTAATGGAAAATAAACCTATGGAAAAATATTACACAATTAAACGATAAAGTACTAACTCATGCCGGGCAACGCCATAAGCACGCGAGATATGCACACTAGTGCAATGCCTCGTCTCGCGGCGTTCTTCGAGTCGCCCACCCGCTGGCCCTCCGCGGTGAATACAGGCGTACCGTTCATCAGCTCACTGAAAACGGGTAACATTCAAAGTCAAGACATTCAAATGTTTTATAGTAACTGATCAAGGTGTGTGCTACTGTTGTACTCCATTAACATATTAGAAAAGGCTGCATAAACCCTTTGAGCTGGTGCGTCAGCAACAAAAGGATTTATATAGTCATAATCCGGCAGGGCACAACCGGTTTCTATTTTTTCTACATCTTTGCTATAAAGTTTGTTTTATACCTAAATTCGGGATCCCGTATAGTAGATAGGTTCGTATGCTTAAATTCTCTTAAACGGAAATGGAAGATGTGTGTGCTTCGTTTTAAACAAATTTTTCAAGCTTATTCAGAGTGAACTGATAAAAAACACTTATACTCCATTAATTATAGTATTAGACAGAACGAAAATAAGGTTCTTTTTATGGTGTACTTTGTGACAAAATATCAATAATCATGTTACTTTTAAGACTGACGGTTAATTTGCTACATATCCACTTAAATACCAGCTGTTATACTTAACTGTTGTCATTTAAGCTATCTATTAAACAAATTTATGAGTATATGACTAACTTAAATGATTTAATAATTAAAACATTAAAAAGTGCTCATTATAAAGAATCTGAAGAAGCAGGGTTGGATAGTTTCGGCACGATTCTCATGTCACTATAACTCTACCAAATTTAAAACGTTGCCTAACCCCTTCAAACGTTTCGGTAGTACAGCTTTTTCATTTTGTCAGATTATTATTTATTCATAATTGTTAAAATCGTAATCTGGGATTGTCATCCATTGTGAATGCTATTGCCTTTCTTATTGTTTTGCCGTTTTCCGTGATGTTATTGTTTTATTTTTGTTGTTATGTTTTGGTAAATATGGACGATGCCGGTGCAGGCCCGAGTGGCCTACAAAAATTACGCTCTAAGCCCCCATACCTACCCTCAAACTTTGACATTTCAGGGAGTTTTTCCAATGTCTTCATCAATAATCTAACTAATTACACTTACAATTAGAATTTATCAAAACACAGATAGTTTCAGTTTTAGTTCCATGTTGGCTTGGGACTAAAAGATGAATTTATAAAATGCTGGCCTCATCTCAACCCCGAGGTATCATAAAAAATGGAAAATTGCCCAGCTCTTTCAGACTACCTAATGTTCAAAGTTTCAATAAAACTAATATATATTTTTTAAATTATCTTGAAAATAAAATGTTCTGCACTGCCGCTTCTATGACCCTCTTTTTTCTAATGTTATGGTGAATGGAGTATAAGCAGTTTCAACAACTTTTTAATGGCGCCCAACGTGGTGCCAATGTTATTTTTGGGTTGATAAAATGTATTAAGTATACTCAGATAGCCTATGTGGACTGATTAGTATTAAACTAAAATCAAAGTTTAATATCCATAATACTGACTTGCTCCTCATCATTGGTATATTGATGAAATTCGCTCCGCATACTGCAGCGAAAGGCACCAGGCGCGCCAACACGGGAGAGTTCATTTTCTAAACAGAAACGTAATAGTTAATTAAAATACTATATAATAATTACATACGAACGAGGGCTAATATAATAACTCTGCCTGTAAACTAACGCTTAAAAATCGGAGCCACGACATAAAATATTCTTCAAGCCACGCGTACGGAATCGCAGAATAAATTTGTTTTTATTATTTACTAACTAAATTTATCACAGATTTCACAGTACAGAAATAATAGATTTACCTATAAATGTAATCTTAAAATAAGTTTTTTTTTAATTCACAAATATCGATGTCAATATTATATATTACCTTGAAAGTTCCATCTACTATTATTAGAAGATAATAGTGATGTCACATGTATTAAGAATGGGTCATTATTATGTATTTGTCATCTCTTTAGAGATTCTGTACAACAAATATACTTAGTTATGGGTTATTAGAACTTCTGAATTAGTTTATTGGACACAATAGCACCATACGTTTGAATACAATATGCAATCGTTTGTAATGATTTTCTTTTTGCAAAATGACTCCTGGGTCAATGCATAAAACTATTATAATATACATATTGCATTAAGTATATAGGTTATTTTTAAGTTTCTGCTACTAGTGCCATTATAGTATTATTGTCAAATAAATTGCCTACATGCAAGTAAAATCACAGAACCTTGCATATTATTGTTACTCTTACAATGGCATGATTGAAAGAGGTCAATTGCATATCAATATCAGTACGTCTAGACAGAGTTGCATGCAGCTCCTTGAATACATAGGTATTTTTAACCGACTTCAAAAAAGGAGGGTGTCAATTCGAGGTGTTTTTCAACGAAATTACATACAATTTTGTTGGGATTGCGTAATATTCATATATGTTTTAATTTCCAGTGCTAATTCACAGTGCCATACGTAGTGCATTTTCCCTGGGTTAAAAAGGTCTTCCTTCTAATAGGATTCAAATAGAACGGGCTATGACCCACCGCAGCAGATGCATTCGAAATGAAGGGTTAAATAGGGCATATATCCAAAAACTGGTTTCGTTTCATAAAACATGAATTTATTTTTTATTTTAGGGAAACTTAATAAGTATAATTTTAAGTCACTTTATAGTCGAGTAGTTTAGCGAGAATTTTTGTGCGAGTAAATATTTCTTAATTCTGTCCTAGCTAAATGACATATTTTGATTTTTTGGGTAAAAATCACGCATATTTAATGCAAATTAAGACTTACATGGTTTTCTTATATATACCATTGTCAAATCTGGGCCACAAGGCAAGCACTTGCTTTCAAATAAAGAAAGAATCATCAAAATCGGTCCACCTAATAAAAAGTAATGAGGTAACAATCAAGAAAAAAAAAATACAGTCGAATTGTGAACCGTCTCCTTTTTTAAGTCGGTTAAAAATATATATAAATATTACACTATTAAGTAAGAAATGCTCAGCAAAATCAGCTCCGCTCGACACTAGAGTTAAGTAGCTAAAGCTCTTGTACTAAAAATCTACAACAACAAGGGTATCACAATTCCCAGACCTGTGACTTCAGAGATGACAACACCTAGAAACTACATGTGGCCATGAATTAAGAAATGGAGCATCTAATCTGTAAGCTGACAAACGTGACGGCGACACACCTCCATCGTGATACGTGACGTAAAGATAATATTGACTCGAGCCATGAACTAATCGAGCTCCATATTATTTATCAAGTTTACGTCGCGATAATGAAGACTGCATGATAAATGTATTTGTAGACTATTGTTATGTTTGTGACGCAATCACATGGAGATTTGCGAATAAAATGCACAGAAGACATCACTAGCACATAGCAAACAAACCGGTGCGATGAAGGTACCTAATAGATAAAATATGAAAATAATACATTCACCAACCGAAACTTTTATTAACTGAAGCTCCTCCGTGCTTCGAAAGTCTCGTTAAGCCGGTCCTAGCTGCATCTATAGTCGTTAACACCCACCAATCCGTACTGGGTCCGCGTGGAGGGTCATGCGTGGCCCATTCTCCTTGTTCGATTTGATTTCATTCGTAGTGAAAGACGTGAAACATGAGGTAATAGGTTGATGATGACGAATGGTGTTATTATAATTAATATTGTATTTATCAACATCTGTACTTTCAGTATTACATCGTACGGTCCATTATAATAAGAAAGATAATATTTATATTGCGTGCAGAGTTAGATTATTACTTAATTCTGAAAGTTTTGAAATAGTTTGAATATATTTGTTTTTTTGTTTTGCTAAATACTTAGCAGTTGTTAAGACAATGAAGTGTCGCTTATGAGTATTTGTCATAAGTTAATTACTAAACTTTAGACACTAACCTTGACTTTGTGGTTGAGGTAAAGCGCGGTACCTAGAGCACCACCGCAGGCTGCGCAGTACGACGCAAACAGTTGCCTGAACATTACAATACATTTTAATGATTACATAAGAAAAAAAATATTTCATACATTATGTAAGAAAAACTTTAAAAATGGTAAGTATTATTTCTCAGGGTTTTTCCAAAATTAGTCCTGTTTAAAACTAATTAATTGGGTAATCTAAGATTGCTTTCAATTTAAATTATGTATTTAATAGCATTCGTCAGCGGCTTCGCCAGCGTGGTCCCTAGGGAAATATTTAGTGAGATATAAATTAGCCTTGTTAATCCACGTTTAGAAGTATCCGTATACAAAATTTTATCATAAACCGTGCTTTAGTTTTTTCATGAAAGAGCAAACATACATCCATTCTCACAAACTTTTATATTATTAGTAGTATATTTTAATACATTGTGCACAATCGTGCAAACGGAGGACTCAATGCCATTTGGCACTCTCTGCCAGTCAACCTTAACGTAGAATAAATTAAAGGATCACATTCAAATTAAGTAACGGCATAGGATGTATAATTTACTTACGACGTCGGCAATGGAGCGTCACCGGACCGATTCGTGTAGTTGACAACGGCGTTGAATGTCTGATTCACCCACTGCCAGAACACAGTCGCTGCTGTGGTCTTGTAAAACGTTATCATACCTGCCATGATAAAAATGAAACTATACCTTCAAAAAATATTTAAGTCACAATATACATTTGGTTTGACTCTGACAAATAAAAAAATGGTCTTCACCATAGCAATGGTCTTCTGTGTTAAATATGGGGGTATAGTATAATACAGACATACTCCTGCTGACGTCATAAATAAAGCATTCCGTCTCACCTCCAGTGATGATGGTGTTCATAGGCGCCTGCGCAGCCATGCGTCCAATGATTATCATCTTCTCGCCTGTGTCTGGGTGGAATGCGCTGTCGTATAAATATTTCGTTCTCCATAACTTCTCTTCGTCATAACCAGGTGGCATTTTGCGCGTTTTCCTGCATTACAGTAGGAAAAATCCTTATAGCCATAGCAGATAATAAGAGTATGTATGTACGCACGTAAACGCCACTCCAAAAAGAAGTAAAACTTTTTTAATACGGTTAAAATAAAGTTTGGCAGAATTTTCATGATGGCTGAGAATGATGATTCGATAGGAGAATGAGGATAAGTGGGAAAGAAGTCCTTGGATGGAATGAAATAAACACGTGCGGCTTGCCCTACCTCTCGCCGCCTGCCGTACCGGGCTTTGGCCCTGTATGGTACAAAACCCCCTGAAAATAAAGTTCCCTTTTCGTGCCTATCTTGACTAAAAATCTATCTAGACTGAACTGAGCGCAATAATCTTAAAAATCACCAATGAATATAAACCCAGATATAACTAAGGTAGACTCCTTTCACTTGATAAAATTAATACTTTTACGACCGGTTTTGTAAGATTACATTATTATCAATAGGTATGGTTCATTTTTTATATACTTCATGTGGCTCGTTGGTCTAGGGGTATGATTTTCGCTTAGGGTGCGAGAGGTCCCGGGTTCAAATCCCGGACGAGCCCAACGTTTTTTTATTTTTTATGACAATAAATGCTGTGAATTGTAGATCTTGGAGAAAATCAAACCCAATGTTTACTATACGTTCAAAATGCAATGCCATGGCTAGTCGCAAGTAGGTAAGTATATTTAAAATTTTAAACATGTGGATGTGTTATGATTTTTTTTTTAATTATTCTTAGTTAATTTCACTAAATTTGTTTTTTTTTTAATTGGACGTCCCAAAGTCCTCTGGGGCGAGTTGAAATTATGTTATAGTTTCTTATTTTTACAAAACAAGTTATTTTGTGGTCTAAATGGTTATAGATTAGGTATACATTGATAGGAACGCCAAACGAAATGTTTGCTGATATAATACTTAGGTGAGTAGTACCTACACAGGAAAATGACATGGTGGAATTGTGGCTAAAAGTATCAGAATTGTTTTGAAAACATTGAGCAGTAGGTAGGCACTAATTGTTCATTATAATACGAATACTGTATATAGCGTCCTCCACAGAAATATTTCTGTGGCGTCCTCGCTCCCATTTGGAAGGAATTATGAATAAAAAATGAAATATGTACCTAGTTTATAGCAATGTAATAAGTTTCATAAAAGTATTTAATAAAATAAAGGACTAAAGATGTAATATCTTCAAGCGCGCAGACGCATGCGTACTTAGAGAAATACTTAGTTCTAAGCATGTGTTGCATTACGAACTCAAAATACTCCTGTTAGCGTGGCGTTCCGAACACGATAGACTCGAGAGGCTCAAGAAACGAGTCTAGAGTTGACTCTCATATCTTGTCTACTCTACACTTAAATGTCACTTTTCTCGGGTGCGTCCATCTCACTTTCAGGTATCTTAATTACGGTCTTCCTTTCGCCCGTTACCACTAACGCGGACTGACGGCCTTTGGCCAAAAGAATATTTACCAATAAAGGCAGAGGTTAAAGGGTTAGTTCAGATAAGAGCATTATAAAGAAAAGCAATATTTCACGATTATTATACTTGATCAAGTTTGCATTCATAATGTTATTTTGAAAAATATTGTTCATGAAAAATGCTACAAAAATCCATCAGCCTTCGTTAAAAAAAAAGAAAAGGTAAACTTAGATTGGACTCTAACCTCAAACTTTCGCAATCCGGGCGACTGCTTTAACCACTGAGCTACTTGCCTAAATAATGTAATGATAAAGAGTATACATACCTAAAGTCATCAACAATCTTCTTGGCTTCGTCCAGTTGCTTCTCCGTGGCCAACACATTGAGGGGGTTCGTCAACTGCAGGAAATGTTTCGCTCGCCCCATATAAGTGGACTGATCGTACCGAGGCTGGTCCAAGTCTATCTTTGACATCTTGTTGGCTACACTGTACAATTATTAGATTATACAAAAACAATTAAGTCAGCACAGCGTGCGAGATGATCATTAATCGAAGAGATGGGAAGGAATAACATAAAATTATAAAACTACGTTAACTACGTTTGGATGTATTTACGTTATAGATTTAATTAACACAATTTTCTATAATAAATAATCTTTTGATTATATTATGTATTTTTATAATAGGCTCGAGCCTTAGTGTTTACTTAATGCTTACAGCTCGAAGGACCAAATGGTCCTTCAAGTCCTAAAATAAAATAGCTCTCCGGCGGGTGTTTTAACATTCGATTGTGTAGTCCTTATGTTTATATTACCATGGATTTTTTCAAAAAATCACAAGATTGTAACTTAACCTATCTACAACGTATAAAATCGAATTCCTTCTGACCGAGTTTTGAAGGAAGAAAATGGAAGTGATAAGTGATTCCTACATTACCACAGAATATAGTAGTTATTTGTTTAAAAGGGAACTTATCGCAGAAACTGACTGCCAGTTGTTATCTCCATTAATAATTTATTTAGGAGATCTATTAGTCTTCATTAGAATATAATTACTAAGTCAAATAGTAAATATGATGCTATAGGATATCTCTTGTTTGCATAAATGTTAACATTCATCAGTCAAGATTAAAAATATCACTGTTAGGTACATAACTCTTTAGCTCGCCTGACAGATACATATTTTTGTATAAATTATATCTATGATTTTTTTACCTGTGGTATGCAGCGCGTGTGTTGGCCGCCCAAGAAAAGTCAAATATTATCACAGGAATCATTAACAATGGCGTCGAAAAATGTAGTATTTATTACCCTACATTACCAAGAAACCTATCTAAATTCGTACCCTAAGCGTAAAATATTTTAACAATCGAATTCGTTGTCCAATTTACATATTGGACATCTTAGTTCCCCATTCGGATTTATTTATATGAGGTTGTGGAGATATCAATACAGAAAATAATATTACAATTGCCCTTGATACAAATTTATTTAGCACTTGATAATTTTATGTGCTACTTCAATAATAATAATCTTTTATTTTCCAAAATTATAGATGAGACTACTCTAGCAAGTCTAAGTAATACTTGTGTTTTACATAATAAAATTGTGTGTGTGTGCGCGCGTGTGTGTGCGTGAGTGTGTGTACGAATGCATATGCGTATGCGTGTATATTTTTTATGATCTCATGAAGGCTGCACCAGCAGGTTTTCAACTTCTTTATAGGTAAGTTTTTCAAACCAATCTGCAACTGCCTTTTTTAAATATATGACGTTGCATAGGATAGTCTTTAATTTTAAAATTAGTTAATTATAAACTACTGCAGACTGAATGGAATACTGTCGCTGAGCAAAAACTGTACGAACCACAGAGATGGGAATGATTTTGCCCTTACGTCTTACTCTTAGTAGGATTGAAAGGCAACATTTTGTGTGTTTTTAGAGTAAGATATAGGATATATAATTTTCTCACAGTTCAAAGCGTAGAGATCGCTCGTAGCGAATCTGTATGGCTTGAAGTCATGACTTTTAATAAAGCCCTTTGGGACCCAAACGTCTTACATTTATCATCATATGGTCGTTTCTTTGAATTCCCATATAAAATAATCATTTCCTCGCGTGTTTTTTTTTTGTAATTTGAAATCAGATTACAAATCACGATTTTGAGTAAGTTAAACTTAAGTCTTGTGTACGTAAATATTGGAAACAATTAACAAGTCAAAGCGGAGTTAGATCTGATTAATGATAAATGACAGAATATTAAAGCATTGATTATATCTTGAGGTGAAGTTGACATGCATATTTACGACTTAATAAAAAGTACCGAATGTTGATTTTAGAGACTGTTCTTGGAAGTCGTGCATGCATAGGCATATCACATGCATATTGTGTAATCAGTCAATTTAAAAATACTCGCTGGTTTTTTAAATTTTTATCATATATGGTCTGTTGACGAAATTTAAAGAAAATGAAATGACTCATGAAAGGTGCAGAGAACATAAATATTGCAACTTCACCAATCAATATCACGAATACGATTATAGTAAAAAACCCTTTTAAAGTAAGCGAGCTAGAATAATATGTCCATTTATGAAGATAATAATTATATTTGCCAAACATTAGATAAAATGCTTGCACTAATCGATAAAGATATTTCTATATTTGAAATGAAGATCCTAATAAGGCATCATATAAGCAATAAAAAAATTACGGTTTCTTATTGCTCTTTTTCCTTAACTCTATGTCTTAGGATGTTATCTTTATGTAGTTCTACCGACGACCGATAAAGGAGGATGTAGGTATAGACATTACGTTTAGGATTTTAGGATCATCTTCTTGTTAAAGTATATAACTATGCGCTTAATTTTATTAAAACGTGTCATAACATTTTATGCGGCAGATCATAAACATTTCTTTTTTTTTTGTATAACAGACAATTCAGATATTTTATTATATATTCAGTAAAATAACTAGAGGTAAGAATATTTATTGACCAAATTATAATAATAATGGTAATTTGCTATAGCAACCGATGAAGACTACAAAAGATGACCTATACTGGGGGCCAATTCTACTAATTTACAACGATCGATCATCAATAGCGTTTCTGTAACGGTTACGTTTCGATTTTTGCTGTAAATTTGCATTCCGCTAACGTAAATTATCAAACGAACGTTTACTAAACTGAAACGTAATCGGAGCCAAATCGCAGCCGAACCAAACAGCTGTCATTAGTGTTACCAGAATAAAATAAATGAAATTATTAGTTAAACGGGAGACGATTAATGATTATTCATTCCTTCATTTTTTTATCATTTCTGTACGTAATGAATCTATTATATTCTTATTCGAACGTTTTAAAATACGGACGAAACACCCGAATATTAGCTACATTAAGAAAGTGCATACCTAAGTGTTAAGCTATAAGGGAAAATACCCAAAATTTTTATCATTATGGGTATTTGACACTATAAAAATAAGTTTCGTACTATTATCATCATGTTAGATAATAATCTAATAAAAGTTTATTTCTTAGAATCTGTAGATTTAAACAATTATATTCATCGAAAATAGAACAGATTCTCATGTAATATATTGACAGTGTGTTTATAATGTATCAAACAACTATTTTAATTAATTAGTTTTCAGAAAATCGCCATATACCCAATTCTAACTTTTATTAAGCACTCAACTTTAAACATGCTTAATATTTAAAGCATAAATCCGATATAATTAAGTCTTTTAATTAACAAAAAAGTCAGATGAAATACTATAAATCCTGGCGTCGACTAAAGATAACGTCAAGCTTAAAGAGTTAAGTTTCAAAATTCAAATGGTGTTGGTTTATTTTATTGTTTATACCGAGTTTTAATTCGCAAAATAAATGTTATTATGTGAGATAAAGTAGCATGAAAGTGAATAATATGATTCCGTAAAATAAAACGGTACCTACATAGGTAGGTCGTGAACAGAAGAGTTTTGACTCATTTTCGGTCACTAACAAACTGTAATAAGTGAGGTATGCAATCAGTCCAAGACTAGGACGAGCATTAATCCAGAGGTGTATACTTTACTTTAAACAACTCCGTTTCAAAAGAATGTACAACAAAAATAATCATTAAATTTATATATTTGTTTGTACTAAAAATTAAATGTTAAAGTTTAATGATGATTGCATATGACTTTAGTAACTTCAATCCATTTAAACAGAATTCATTAAACTTCATTGAATATCATCGGACTTCATTAAACTACATGGATAGTTCATATTGTGACTTTATGGGACTTCATTAGGTTTTCATATAACATTTCCAATTACGGGCATTAGAAATTACATAATAATAATAATATATATATATTTATTTATTTGGGCATTGTTGAATCAACAACCGTAGTAGTCCGTAAAACTTAGGAAAAATGCAAAATTGCACCAAAATTAACTAAAAGTATATTAAAGTTTTTTTTATTCAATAAATGTTACTGCAGTTCTATTACATATAGTGAATTAATCGATTATTTTCCAATCGATGTTTGATTTTCATATTGCAACACCAATTCACTTTTTGTCAATACAAACCACAATGATACAGATAATGTTTTAATTAATCTTTCATTCATTACTTTTTCATTTTACATGTAGAAATTAATTTATTCACTTGACTTTGGCAGAATTGTGTGAAATGCGCAGATATACCATTAATAAAAGAAGAATGAAATTGACAAAATTGAATTGTAAATGACAATTTAATATGGGATATCTACTAAAACAATCCGCATATGTGTATTTTTTTGTAATATTAAACTGTAATAGAAAGTGAAACATTATACTTGAAAATATTATTTACAAAATTAATTTTATAAAATAATTCATACCATGTATTGGCTACGCACGTGAAATTGGCAGAATTATGCGAAAGCCCTTAATAAAAGAAGAAGTTTTCGATTGAAAATAAATATTCATACGTATCAATAACATAGTGAAGAAGATAAACGATAGTCGACTCAAAGTAGACATTTAAGAGAGAATTATTTATGATGAAATGAATCCAATATCTTTCGAAATCTGGCTACACCTACATCTGTACACCGAATCAAGCAAGGCAACATAATATATACTGTGGAAAATCTATACAAGATTAAATTTAAAACAATGTTTGTTATAGAAACCCATTAGAAATGTCATTATTGACTAGATATTATAAGTAAGATCAGAGAAAATTATTAATGATTTGACATATCTTTCACATTAAGTTGTATACAAATTAAATTCTTGTAGTTGCATAGATCTGCTCGCAGCTGTCATCCATGCTGACTATGAGCAAATTAAGTATAAGTTTCGACTGATATAAAAGAACTTACACATATAAATTCCTGCTAAATTGAACAAGAGCTCCTGATTCACAGGCTTATTTTTTTTGTTCTAAATTGTAACCCATCATAGTGTATGACAGTTCTTTGGGTTAAAATTGGTGGTTGGTTTTAACTTTGTGTCAAAAACAGTAGAATATGTATTTTTCATGTAGGTAATACTAATTAGGCTGAACATTTATCTTGCACGCAACTTAATATATGGTTACAGAAAGCCTCATGTTATTTTAAATGTTACATAAAACTGAGCTGCGGCTAAGCTCAATTTTATGTAATTTTTTTAAACTAAAAATAATTCAGAATAAAATCTTATAAACAGTATATTTACCTGTTTAACAATCCTTTAAACATGATGATGATATGATGTAATAATCCTTTATAATATTATAATTTCCAAATTTTTTATTTGGAGATTATAATATGTAATAAGTGAGTAATAATTATGTCAGAAAAAAATATTCATAATTAAGATTATTATTTGATCATATTTTCTTTTTAATGTTATTGATAAAATTTACACCCCTGTCTTCATAAATTGTTATCTCTCTCTCTCCATCCCATGATTGCCTGGAAGAAATCACTTTAAGCGATAAGGCCGCCAATTGTTACATTATTTTGTTAAACTGTTTTAAATTTGTATACCTATATAACTTGTGTAATGTTAACAATAAAGAATTTTCTATTCTATTCTCTATAATGGTATTATTAATATAGATTTGGTGAACTTCCTAAACATAAATGAGCATATGCTCACTAGTAATGCAAGTAATTCTTAAATTCACAAAACCTGCTGATTATCTGGTAGTTAAATTGGTTTTAGCAGACGCCCAGACTGCGAGTGTTTATGGGTTTAAATCCCACCTCAAGCACTAATTGCTTGAAGTGGGTTTTTTAATTATTTTCCTTTAAGATAAATATCGATATAGTATTGCAAATGCAAAAGTGATCAGAAAAAATAATGATAAATTAATTAATTTGTAAACAAGGACTTTTTCAGTGCCATTTTTATTGGAATTTCACACATGCTTGAAAATACACACTTAAGTTTTCCTGTAAAAATACTACAATAGTTTACTTTTTTCAATACAAAATATTCAAAAATTCATGTTTTTATAATCATAGATAAGTTTACTTAAAGCCAAAAGCCCCTACAATCTAATAATGATTTTTATATAATGAAATGGTGTACATAAAAAGTTTATTAAACATATGCATGCACTATCACACTTGTTTATCTAGCTCCATAGTTTTCGATTTCATTTTTTTTCTAATCATTTTACATAATTTATATCACATGGATTGCTATGTTCTCATGAGGTAGATGAGGAATCTGGTGTTTGATACCCAGATTTTGTATATTTACTTCAGACGTCAGGGTGCTCATTGAAAGTATCCTTGTATCTTTGTGAAATAAATAATATTGGATAGAAAATTTTATATGCTTGAAGTGCTAGACAGTTAAAGATTAAATTTTTTTGGTACCTTAATATAAGGTATTTTTATAAATAATTAATGATAAAGCAAACATATAAATGGATTTACACAACTTATTATGTTCTTTACAGTCTATTGATAACTCACTCACAAACTCTTAAAATGTAGGAATTAAAAGTCACAGTGGATTGGAGTATTTAATATATTTCATGTTGTAAATACATAAAAGTCAGATGAGAGTAAAGAAGAGAGTGACATAAAAACAATAAACAGTGTATAAAATACTAATTCAAAAAGGTATACGAAAAGATGCCAGTGTCTGATTAATATAGAAAAAGGTTTTATCTATACCTCCCCGTAATCAGGACACTTATGTACACCCTTTATATAAACACACTGTATGTACAAAAACACTATAATATCAAAAGTACCTTAACATGATGCCCTAACCTAATTAACCTAATAACACAAAACAAATAACACTAAACTAATCCTAAATTAGTTAGGCACATATAGTGTCTCAGCTTAGGCAGTGGCTTTGTGAGAATGTCTGCTGTTTGGTGAGCTGATGGTATGAATGACACGTTGACTTGTTTAGTGGATATAGACTCACAAACAAAATGATGTCTAATTTCAATATGTTTTGTGCGGGCGTGATGCGTGTTGTTTTTTGTTAATTTGATGGCACTTTGATTGTCACAATTAATGTAGATGGCTTCCTTACAGGCTTCACTTAGAGCCATGTACTCAGCTTCTGTTGTTGATGTTGCAACGGTTCTCTGTTTACGTGATTCCCACGACACTGCCGAACCACACATATGGAAAACATATCCTGTATAGGATCGTCTGTCCACCAGATTACCACCATGATCGGCATCAGCAAATCCGATTAGATCACCACTATTGTTATAGGTCAGTTTCCTATTTTTTATAGCCTTCAGGTACCGATGAACACGTTTCGCAGCTCTCCAATGTACCGAGATAAAACTTCTTCTATACAAACACTACAAATACCTATGTTTGCCGAAGTTACTTTTGTAGGGCAAAATGTTTTTAATTATCAATTCTGAAGATGGATCAAGGTATTTTATTTCACTCAGCAATTGGGGGTACCTAATTGCACCTCTTAAAATTTTAAATAATATAAATTGTTTCACATCTATCATTAAACGCTAACTATCGATCGTCAAAAAGTAGAAATTTGCAACTTTTTAGAAATCGTTAATTTTGACAGATGAAACGTTCGGATTTAGTAACGTTTCAGTAGCGTTTCGATCCAACGAAGTGTCAAAATTTTAGTGGAATAAGGGCCGACGGGCCCACGGTCGACTCAAGTATATGGACGTAGTTATGCAAACCAGCCACATGATGTCAGTTTTGAGAAAAATGGGTTTCTTGTTTTTAGTAATAATTGTTTGTAGAATATATTTTATTTTATTTATTTATCAAGAAATTTTGTGAATTTACAACATTTGAGTTTAATTGCAACACTTTTAGGCTTCTCTGCACATAATTCGATTTTGACAGATTTGTGGGTTGGTTCCGGTTTGCATAACTACATCTGTATAGTTCTATGTTCGATTGAGCGAGTAGAATACCGTTTACAGTTTCTGTTGATCGATAGTTAGCTAAACTAAAATAGAACCGGAACTGTAGCGTTTGACGCCATTTTGACACCGAGTAGAATAGGAAAACCACTAAAAGTTGTAGTTTCGTTCGGTTTCGTTCCGTTTTCGATTCGATTTAAACAAAATTTATTTAGTAGAATTGGCCCCCTGATCGCAATAATAGACGAATATGTTCACACGGCTGAACGTCAGGTTACCGCAATATGTCAATTTTCTCCATTTAATTTATACTCTACCTAGTTAACATTAAGATTTAAAATCAAATGAAGAAATTTAATCTAATCTGACGTGCTATTCACTGTACATTTAATAGTCTAGTACATAATGAAAACGCCATTTTAATGTTGGTTTATTCTGAAAAAGTTGAACATGATTTTAATTTTCTCTTTACATGTAAATATTTAAAAAATAAATTCGGTATTTAATCTACAGCGGCTAGCGTGCGTAAAATACTGACACCTACGTAAAAGATAGTAGGAGTTACGTGATTTTTATCTGATAAAACAAAATAATAAAATCGTCTTCCGCGACAGTACCTACTGTTCTACAACTTTTTGTTTATATCTGCCTACTTGACCATATAATTATAAACTTGTATTATATTTATATCAATGACTTAAGACAATTAGATAATTATAATTGTAATAAAAAAATCTCTTTACAAAAGGACACGAACATTACGTAATGAAGATAATTCTAAGTTTGGGAATGTTATTTCTATTACGATCGGAGTTCAATCCATGACCTGTAAGCACCTTCTTATCTATAAAAGTATTGTGCTCTGTACTATCCGGGTGAGGTTAAAAGGTATGATCAATACAGTTAACAAAATTCTTTCATACATCATGTTTCTAAACATTTTTTTGTGAAATAGTTTTTATTATAATATGCGCAGAGTGATATTTTACGCTAAAGTTATTGATACATTACTATATAACTCAAACCCGTGAAATAAAAAGCTCCAGATTCTGGATGCAGAAATTACACTGGAAATAATTAATTTATATACTAACCTTTATTTTATATGAAGAAAAATATTTCAGCAAATAGTGGAAACGGCTGGTTTCTATATCCAGCTCCAGTAAGCTCACCGCAGAAATTTATAACACATATTTTTTATCACTTTAATAAATTTTATCAATGTTACGAGTTCAAATGTTGCGCCTTGACAGCGCCTTGAAAGTGACAAAATCAATCGCGCTCCTCATAGCCTCGTCCGGAAAATGACAGACGGAACTTAGCGCTAGTGTGCTCAATTTTGCTACATTCCGATTTACGCATGTTTATTAAAAAAAAATCATATTATTATTATCGATTATCCTATGAAGCATAGTTTTATATAGTTTAATATATATTTGTTATTATAGATATACTTTGAATACTGTAAGTTTTTAAAAATCCTAGTATCCATGTGTACTTTGTCAATTTGTCTGTCACTGTCAATTTTCGTTTATTGGAATAATGTTGCGTTACGTTACGTCTCTGCTATCTTAGAGGAAGGCAAAGACGGTCCAAAAATAATTTTATCTTCCAGAATAACCTTTAATTAAGTTCAAAATACGTAATCGAAGATGTCTTTAATTAGCAGAAACATTTTCCGAGCCCTGGTGCAGGTAAATAACTATATCCTGTAACCATTTTATTGCTCGTGGATCTTTTTCTTAGTATTGTTTCGTAACTGCACTATTATCAGCTAATATCAATGTCTCGCGCTATTCTCATCAATTATATGTATTATATTAGTTTATATAAAACGGCTCCATATTTATTTTTTGTTAATCTAGTTTTAACCCGCTGCATTTTTGGTTACTTATTTTACCATTTAAAATTTGGTCTGTTTTCAGGGATCTCAACATGTTAGCAAAGGTGTACACACAAGTGCGGTAAACACTAAGGAAAATGTATGTTTTGCTCCACAATCAATCAGCACCCTGGTGAGAACACTAACCATTACTAATAGCAAGTTTCCTAAAAACCAAACCAATGTAGCAGAAACAAAATATGGCATAATATTGAATTAGAAGTTTAGCTTATTAATAATCTTTTGTTCACTTCAATAGTTACATAGTAACTACACAGATGAATTAAAGGGTATTTCTGAAAAAAGAGGGTAGTATTTTGTGTCAATGAATAATTTTGGTCAGAGTGAGATATAATATTGGTCATTTAAATTTAGAAGATAAGTTGTTACATATTTTATTCAAGTACTGTGTTTGATAGCTGTTATGTTTTTTGTTTATTTTCAATGCATTCTGAAAGAGGACACCAAATAAAAATCAATTTATGGTAACTGAGTATATTAATAAACAATTGAAATGCACTTTTTTCATAAGTAAATGAATTGCAAATACAATTTATTATAAATAGCTTGTCGCTTACATAGTTAAATATTTTTCTTCTAGTGTCTACTATCTAATTATTTTAATATTGAAACTATTGCATAAATATTGTTAAAGGAAATTATAAACCAACTGAGATAACCTACATGTGCCAATCTTATTATCAAACTATTCTCTATAAATACTAATTCCAAGGAGGTGAACAAAATAAATTTACTTTACACCTCAAAAATGAATGACAGGTGACATTAGAACTCCAATGATTCAGTTTATACTGCTGTCACATGTTTTGATCATAAAATTTCTTTCTTTAATTTCCTTCAGTACATTCCATTAGGATTGATTTGCATTTACCTTAAATGAACTATATTTTGCCATTTATACATTAGAGAATTAAACAAATGTTATTTATTTAAATATCTCTAAATGAAACTGTAAAAATTGAATTGTGTTTTCTGCTGCATAGCTTGATTCAAAGTTGTGAAAATTTTATTGCCATTGAAATTGGACTTGCTTCCATTCCCAAAAAAATATTTATATATTATTATTATAAAATAAGTTTTTATTAGTCTTTAATTTTATGAGATATTGTAACATGGTACATATGAGATTATTATGAGTGATTCTGAAATTCTTCTTGACATTTGTTTACATTTATAATACTTATTGCAATCAGAATTCACAGGTTCATCAACAAACTGAACTGTAAGCTTCTTTGTATACTTGCATGCAGTATTGTGTCTCCCTTTCTATAAGATATGGTCATTCTATTCTAATTTTAAAACAGTGAAAGTATTTACAAAAGAAGAATGGCGAAATCAGACCCCATAATTTACAAAACCGTACATGGATGGCAATATGACAAATAAATAATATATGATTAATAGATTTTATTTCTACAAAATGGTGAATTTTAAAGTCAGGGAACCAAACTAAAATATTAAATGCTGCTAATAATTATCAAGATAACAAAACGTCTGATGATAGTGCAAAAACAAAACGCGAAAATATTCTTAAGAAACGTTCTGCAGAAGTACTTTAATAATAAAACTATATCTTGGAAGTGTTTCATGAATTTTGCGCCAGGCATTAAAAGGGTCATCTATTTTAATGGATATTATCGTTTCCTGTACATTGCAATTAATTTTATTGCCTTTAAAGTACCATTAATATGCTTAATAATCGTATATAAATTCAAAATAAGATTGTATAGAACAGATTCCGTTCTCTTTAATTGAAAACCACACAATATATCAAAGGGTTGTAGTTTGGATGGTTTTTGAAAAATCGATCACATACATCAACGATGTCAGAAGCGATTCTCAATTAATTGCGAGTTTTTCAAACATGTTCTATAGAATATTATCTGTCGCCATTTACTACTAATAATAAGTGAGATATGTGATGTAATGTGATATGGCTTAGTTCCTTCGCCTGTCCCATGGACGAATTATAATACTACTACTGTGATGTAATGACGTGTACCGACTGAGCGAATGAACGTCAAATATATATTCAATAATATATTATATGAAATACGGTCTTTGAATACTTTCATAAATATTTATTTTATTCGTTCAAATTACGTACTGAATACTTAAGAAATAAAATATTGAAAGCTAAGATACCACAACCGATTTAAGAAGATTATTGCCAGTTCTGCAGTTGATCCGATGAAAGTCCGATCCGATATTAAGGCAAAGGGATCTACTCCTCACAGTTTAGTCATATGTTATAAATATTTCTTCTATTATAAGTGTCTGGATCTTGTTAGATATGTAATTATTTTAATCTAGTTTACTAAACGGAGTAACCTGGTCACCATTTTTATTTATTTTAACGTCCATTCAACGAAAAAGCAAAGATGCAATATAGAACCCTACAAAGTATTTTATGCCATATCTTTTTAATCCCAACTTTTAAAGGAAAAAGACAATTAGGATTTTGTTAGTTTAGCTTATACCTTCAAGCACACGTTTATTTCATTCATGAACGGGACTTAAAAATTCAGGTCCAAAGCTATATGGGAGTTCGCCATTGTTCTTTATACAGTTTATATTACACATTTTTATATATGCACATTGACACACACAAATCTATTGGCTGGTTTAGATTTTTCATTACCATGGAGAATGGGATGACTTGTAACATAGCATGCATTGTCATGCTCATATTATTTTTTTTTTTTTATAAAAAATAATATGAGTTTACAATACTCACATTCCCAAATATGTATACAATATTCTAGCATGAAAACACTGCCTATGAACCCTGTTTTCGATTTATGTGCACCTTAAAATATTTGTGTTTTTGAGAAAAAAGCTTAGTGTTAGAAGTAGAACCATATATTTAATCATACACAGGGAAAATTTATTATCAGCAAATAAGGTTTTTTCTATGGTTTAGTATAGTTAATGAAACATAATTTAATGGGGTTTTTTTATTGTATATTAAAATGAACAAATTAATATGTGTACATTGTTGTTAAAATGGGATAATGGCAAAAAACAGTTATCTTGACACAATGACAAAGAGAATTTTGTATGTTGACCTTAAGCAGCAACATGATTAAACACAGCTTTTTTAAATTTATCTCTGATGTTAGCAGTATATAAAAATTGAGCTAAATAAGAAAAGTAAATATGATTCGGCATAACAGACACTATAAATTTTTGTGCACTGACTACAATTTTTTCCTGTATATGACTGAGAAATGAGATAAATACATGTGGTTATACTTCAAAAAGCTTTTGTTACAAATTGTTGTGAGCAACCTCTGTTCTGTTCAAGTGCAATATATAATTTCTAAATAACTTGTGTTGTCCAAACCAGCTTTACTTGTAAGTTGTTTTACACATAGGTCGACATACACACACATGCATAACTTATGGTAAGTTGGAAGCAATGTACGCACGACTGCACGTCAGGTTCTATACGAAGCGAGGTCGATATATGTCCACAATGTATAGTCTGACGTGCAGCCGTGTGTACATAGTATTTTTGTAATGGTTATTGAAATAATTTATCAAAATACTTAGATATATGTAATGTTAACTGCATATAATCTTATACAATTTCGATACTTATTTATTTGAACATGTAAAGAGGTTAGAATGTATTTTCATGTCGCTTGGTTATCCACCTGGTCTGCCATTTTCTCTGTTTAATAAAAATCTAAAAAATTTCGGAAGCACTATGAGCCATGTAAGAAAATAAAGGACTCAGGGTTATTCAAAATAAAGAAAGCTCTTTTTTTCTAATAAAGTCATATGACACAGATTGATTAATGTAATTTGATGATGATTAATCAGATTGTACCTATCTATCTTTTATATTTCTTTTCAATTGTATTTCTTTATAAATAACATTCATTCAACATGGTATCTAGACATATCTTCACATACGGATTATAATAAAATATAATGTATATAAAATACTATTAGTTTTGCTTGCTTGACTTATCAATTTGTTTTATAATAGCAACCGAACGCGTCCAAGGAGGGCCGTATCAAGTGCACTCTGATCCCTGGAGATGGCGTCGGCCCTGAATTGGTCTATTCTGTCCAGGAAGTGTTTAAGGTAAACCTTTAGTTATGATTGTACTATGTGCAGAAATTTTATTTGTTTTGGTATATACTATATAAAATACTTAGAGCTTCGTAAAACACCACCCTCGTAATTATTAAATACATAGTCGTTTTTAAGAAGGGCTTTCTATGAAATAAGTATTGCTCTTCATACCGGCACAGAACGTTGAATCGCTCGATCTAGAGCGCGTGTTCCCGTTCGATATTTTTTTTCATTCTTTCGATACTTCATATTTAAACATACAGTTTTAATTTATTTTGATTGACCTTTCTATACAGGCGGCCGGTATACCTGTGGATTTCGAGTCATTCTTCTTCTCAGAAGTAAACCCAACGCTCAGTGCGCCGCTCGAAGACGTCGTAAACTCCATCACCAGGAACAAGATATGTATCAAGGTAATATGCTACCCAAATATTTGACACTCCCAAAGAATTTTGTTTATTTAAATAACACTGCGGAAATTTAACGCACACCGCAAATAAAATAGTGTCAGCTTGTCAAAATGTCGCTAAAATAGATAAATATTTATTAATGCAGGGTATTCTGGCAACACCGGACTTTTCCCACACGGGCGAGCTCCAAACCTTGAACATGAAGCTCCGTAACGCTCTGGACCTCTACGCGAACGTCGTACACGTCAAGTCTTTACCCAACGTCAAGTGTCGCCACCACGACGTAGACTGCATCATTATTAGGGAGCAGACAGAGGGCGAATATTCTGCGCTAGAACACGAATCTGTACCCGGTTGGTGAATTATAAAAATATGCATTTGGCATTTTTTTTTTTGTTAAGTTTTGTTTTTTCAATGTTATTTTTGCCTAAAACTCAATCCCAGCAATCCTATTAATATTATAAATGTGAAAGTTTCTTTGTTTGGATGTTTAGATGTTTGGATGTTTAGATGTTTGGATGTTTGGATGTTTGTCCGTCAATCACGCCGAAACTACTGAACGGCTTTTGATGAAATTTGGTATACAGATAGGGTATTAGCTGACTTATATAACAGGATGCTTTTTATCCCACTAAACATTTCCTTAGGGTCCACGCGGCCGAAACCGCTGGCGAAAGCTAGTAATATATAATCCAACCAAGTTTTTAATATTTAGACATTCGATTTGTTGACAATGTTGGGAAACGGTATTTGTGCGATAGTTTAAAAGTAACATGTTACTTAATTTATTTTAAAATATGTAAAGTAAAACTTGAGTTAACAGCAATAACCAAAAATATGTAAATCTTTTTAAAAACCGTTGGTTATGGTTTAGATTTATGGCATATGTATATAATTAATATTATGAAAAGAATAAAAGGTAATAAGAAGAATTATTAAACATTTAGGTTTAAAAAATAATGTGTATATTTCATAAATTTTCAAGGTGTCGTGGAATGCTTGAAGATCATTACTGCTGCAAAATCGGAGCGTATCGCCAAGTTCGCGTTCGATTACGCGGTGAAGATGGGACGTAAGAAGGTCACCGCTGTACATAAAGCTAATATCATGAAACTTGGCGACGGGCTCTTCTTACGCAGCTGTGAAGAGGTGTGTTATTATTATTAGTCTGTGACTTGAAAGAATAATTTTAGTGTTTAGAAGTTTGAACGAAGTGTTTTTCGCTATTATTTAACAGGGCAGATCTTTATTTGACTACGTATTTCTTATATTTAATGAATTTTGCATCATAATGCTATACTGAAAAATATTCTTAATCGAAAATGCTTAAAAAATCCACTGTGTCATTGACACCTATGCCATCTCAGAGTGCCAGGGACAAAGTCGATTTTTTAGGCATTTCCATTAACTATATGTCAGAAAAAAACAGAAAAACCTGTAGAGATATTTTATGCATAGTGCATTAATTGAAAATCTACTTACAATGGGCTTAGCTGGTTTAAGAATGTCATAATTGTTGTTATCTAAATAATTAAAAAGCAAATTTTACCTTTATAATTCACAATGTATTTGCTAATGGTAATAGTATAAGTAATAGTATGATAGTTGAGAGATCGAGGAAGTTAATAGTGCGATACTCATATGATTTTCATCATCAAAAGATGGCAAAGCTGTACCCGCGCATCCAGTTCGAGAAGATGATCGTGGACAACTGCACGATGCAGATGGTATCGAATCCAAATCAGTTTGACGTGATGGTGACCCCGAACTTGTACGGAAACATCGTGGACAACCTCGCGAGCGGACTCGTCGGTGGAGCAGGAGTAGTGGCAGGAGCATCATACAGCGCCGAGTGCGCCGTGTTCGAACAGGTCTGCATTACTGCATCACGTATTTTATAACACTGGCACTGGCTTAGTGCCCTGAAGAATAGTGGGCGACCTATTTTACTTCACACAGCACCGCGTACGCTATTGAAATGAGGTTGTTCAATACCTTATCATATACAACATTGGCCCCAGGATAGTGCCCTAAGGGACGGCGTACGTTCGGTTTAGCGTTTTAGTATCCATTTTTTTCAAACCGGTATGGCTGTAGCGGCACAGTCGCGCGTTAAAACGTCGAAATGTGAAAACGCTCATAACACTGAGTATGCTGTGTTAGAACAGGTGCTCTAGTACCTAATTTAAATAACACTGGTCCCAGCAAAGTGCCCCGAGGGATGGAGTCCTTGCTAGTATCATGCAACGCTAAGTTTAAATAGGTGCACTACTCTCATATACGATATCGGTTTAAACACGATTGTGGGACTCATCATAAGCAATATTAATTTCATATATTAAGTTAAAAAAAAAAATTCTTAGTAAGTAAACTATGTCAAAGGCTTTACTAGATTTTTTCCTAATACTTATAAAGATACGCAAAACAATAAACCTTGATTTTATCTAATAATACAGCATTCGTATGCTCAAAACTTTTGAGGGACTCGAAATTTTTAAAAATCATTTTTTGAGTAGTTAGTACCTAAGTAACTATTTATAAAAAAAAGATAATTTATAAAAACAATCGTCTATCATTCAGGGCGCTCGTCACATCTTCTCCGGCGCGGTGGGCAAGAATATCGCCAACCCGACCGCCATGTTGCTCTGTTCCGCCAATCTGTTGTCACACGTCAACCTGCCCAAATACTCGCGCATGATCAAAAACGCCATCAACACGTGAGTACATCCTGTATCTTTCTCAGCCTACAATGAAACGAGGAAAGACAAAACCTTTTGGTTATAGTTAGTCTTGAAATGCAGCATCAAAAATTTGAAATTCACATTAAATAGTATAGGTAAATTTTGATAAGATTTGTTACTTATCGCCATTAATTGTGGGAAGAGGAGTGTAGTTTTATAGCTTTTATATTATTTTTATTAAACATGGAAAGTATATCATATATCATACATCGTACATCATATCGTATATCAGGCAAATGATGAATTCGGCTAATCATTAATATGAAGCCATCGTTATATCTAACATCATCTTTATGTTGGCCATTTTCAGGGTGTTAAAAGACGGCAAAGTGAGGACCAAAGACCTTGGAGGACAATCGACCACTAAAGATTTCACTTACGCCGTCATCCACTGCTTGTCGTAAACAAAGCAAGCCGCTCCTAATAACCATAAGATTATTTATTTTTAAAATAGAAAGTGACTAATTAGAAAATGATCTGTCAAATCAAATTAATGTTCAGTATTTTTTTTTTTATTGTAAGTAGACAAAATGTGTTACCATTGTAAATATGAATAATAAAACTAAATGATAATGTTTTTATACTGTTACTGTTTTATTGAAATGTAACGACTCATATTCCGAATTCAGAACCGAATGTTAGGACTCTACACTGTACTATGTCGCACTAACGAATTTTCCGAGTTCACGCAATTAAGAGATTATTAACGAATCAAGTAACAGATAACTTAGATCTTGGTTCAATAAATATTTAAGAAACTATGTACTTACTACTTACGTAAAATTCCAGTATCAAAATTGCCTTTGAGAAACGAAATCGTGATAAAAAAGCTATGAAGTAAAATTGTCAAATTAAAGAGTCCGACTATACTTTTCAGGGTGTCATCTTTCTATTGACCAAACCAATATATACTAAGGAAACACGGTAACCAAACAGTTACCAACACTCTCTATGTGACTAAAACGCTCCATAAACTTATATTTCAACTAATTTCTTAGTATAAAATCAATCGCCGTTGGAATCGGATACACTCATTAGTGTTATTAATAAACAAGCTTTAGCGTTGATATAAATTTACCTTGAGACTGCACTTAGTAATAGTCAAAATTCATATTATTAAACAGAGACTTGGCAAAAGTTAACCCAGTACGAGGTTCTACGGGAGTAATATTTTCTCTTAGAACCTAGAAGTAGGTTTGCTCATTCTCTATAATATGAATTTGGACTAATAATTAATTGCAATTTTAGCGTAAATTTTAGCGTAAATAATTTTAGCGTAATTTGCTATTAATAAACATGGTTTAGCGTCATAACGCTAAACCATGTTTATTAATAGCAATAATGTATATTTCACTACGAAATACTATAATTTAAAGGTATTTTAACTTTATCAACTCACATTCGGGTTCGAACATAATTGGTATTTAAAATATACGTTTATTGATAAATATTTAAACTTAAACTGTTAATAAGCATTAATGAGTACATCCGATTACGACGGCGATTGATATTACAGTGAAAATATAAGTTTGTGACGCATTGTAGTGACGTCACAGACGGTGTTCGGTAACAATGCAATAAACAAATTCGTTAGTACGATTATACGGGGCAATAAGGACGCTTAAAGCATTCAGGGTGAATCCGGCTTTCAAACAATATTGTATTAATACTACATCGGTTGCGGTATAACTCTGGGAGCAGCTAGCTTTTTCGTGCGGTCTGATATCACGTACTTCAGGGCAGCGGGTGGGACCTGAAAATCGGTAACAAAAATTCTTGACATATTACGACAATATATCAGTTAAATCTAATAAAAGGCTTTAATTGATTTTATAAAAAAATGTGATGGAGTCAAAAAAAATATTTTTGTCGCTTTTGAATGACGTTGAACGGTGACGTCACAATTTATTTTATTTTTATCTCACATCCTTGGTAACTTTGAATTACCTCCATAATTCTTAAATATCATTCTGTAGGAGATATCAATATATAACTCTTCTATAAGACATATCTAACTGAACAAAAGCTAGTCAGTAGGCTATTAAAAGTCTCATTGCTAGGACACTTGCGGAATGGGTCTTGACTTTCTCACTTAGCAACCGATGCAGCCGGGCCAAAAGTTTAATGTACCTTCTCAATGAGGAAGTATTTAAAAAAACATTAGTTCCCGAAATCAAACTAGATGTCGCTACGGTACGTTCTTGATTTCTCCATGACAACCTTTCCGGTTTTCTTTCATGTTTAAAAGTAAATTACGTTTCCAAAATTCAATAAACAACTCATATTCTATTTGTACTTTTTCATATTTGTATTGATATCTAAGTTTCGAAACTTTACAATTTCAGTTTTTTAATATGTTAGTTAAAAGGAACGGAAATGACTGTCTTTGGTCCATTCGTTTCCTGCAAAAATCAACTTTTGCTAGAGTCGCCATTTAGTGGAGGTGCTTTTTTGGTGCTTTCGTTTTTTTTTTAAATACTTCCTCATTACGATGAAGCACGAGGCAATCAATTTTGCTGACCCATTCGATAACCAACTTATGGAAAAATACTAATCTCCACGTTCGCATACCATATGCACTAATAAATGAGCTCCTCAATAAAAAAAAACTAACAATTTATTGTATTTTCTTTACCTTGACGGGGTTTCGGTACCCCGCTTCCTGTGAAAGCCGCCGGTAGACCTTGAAATCTGGCCGCCAGCATATCTGGTTGATTCTTGGCAATAATTCGGTTAAAGGTTTCGCAGGACCTCTCTGTAAATAAAAAAAGAAATTGTTAATAATTACATTTCTGCAAGTCTTCGATAAGTAGAGCGTCGGCTTTTATGCGTAACGTTTGGGTGGTTAATAAACATTAGTTAAAACCAGGCAGGATTTTATTGGACAATATGCTTTATTCAAACCTGAATAACAAAAATCAACTTTTCGATCTTGTCTCTACAATTATTATTACCTTAACAGGAGGTGGTCTGAAGTCCTTTCTAGGGCCGGCTATCTGGCTGATATAGTCCATGTGTTTCTTCCACTCGCTCTCTGACCAACCCCTCTTCTTTTTCACTTCTTTCGTATCTTGTTTCTTCAGATCGAGCACGCAATTCGCCAGTTTACTGTAGCACGTAGTGTTCGCTGCTTCTATCATTCGGTCGATTCTTTCTAATCTTTCTTGATCAAATCTGTGCTTGTACATTCGCTTGATGATCAAGAATCGACTGAAAAGTTTCGATGGGAACAGATTAATGTTTTGATTAGGTACTTATTTCAGCAATCTTCATTATAGGTACTGTTAAGAATGCCTTTGGCAATATTTAATAAAAAAATGTGATTGTCTTTGGGCCAGGATAAAAACTGATATTCAGTATCTGGTATATATATATTAATATTATAAATAAAAAAGTTTTGATTGTTTCCGTTTAATAGGCTCTAAAACTACTGAACCAATTTTAAAAATTCTTTCTCCAAAAACGGCACAGGGGAAGCAACTTCTTACGTGGGTGATATTGGCCATAATTTACGCGGGTGAAGTCGCAGGAAAACAAGAAGTATGAGAAATATAACTAAATTAAAATGCAGTTATACAAAGTATATATACAAAAAACGTCATTGTACATAATTGACTATACAGTCAACACTAAAAAATATCAATCTCCAGCATACGATTTGAAATTTTAATTTGTTGTTAGCTAAGTTCATCTACAGCTTTTTCCAATGCAATTATTTATTTATGGACTTTAAAAATATGTCCGTCCCATGCCATCGTAGTCTATGTCTATGAATTTATTTTTTATATATTGTATTAGCTTTCCGTCAGCGGCATCGCCCGCGTGGTCCGCTGGTACCTTACTCATAGATCTAAACTCCCCTCCCCCTTGGTGACGTCCACTACGCAACGGGCCGTGCAGCAGAAATCGTAATATTTTAGTTTCGCCATAACTTCAAAACCAAACGTCCAATTTTCATTTTCATTCAAACTCCAACTATTATCTACATAAACTGTACTTAGTGATGAAATAATTTATTTTGATAAGAATTAATAGCATGAGCAAAATAAACGCGGTTAAATGTTTGTTGTGCCTCACCCGACATAGATAGGTATAGTGTGCCGGGGACTTTTTTGTAGATATTTATACGATCTACAATTAACTGGAAAAATTTAAAATAAGTAACTTTTCTGGTTGATTTTTTTACATCTTGAGTCCGAAGAACCCAAATATCTTACGGAACCATATTTTTCCCAAAATAAAATATAGCCCGAGTACATAACTCGTGGATAATGTAGCTTTCGAATGGTGAAAGAATTTTTAAAATCGGTCCAGTAGTTTTTAACAAACAAACACACAAACAAATTCAATTAATTTCAAATGCATTAAAGCTATCCAAAATGAATTTATTATATTGATAGATACTTGAATTATCTATCAAATAGTGTCAACATCTTTATTTATCGGGAACATGAATTAATTGGATACTGACCGTAAATAGGGCCATGCTGCATCATGTACTCTGTCAGACAGCTGAGAATTCAAGGCAGACTTCCTGATACCTCTCGGTGTCAACGCAGGCATACCTTCTCCTGTATCAATTATATACTTCCTCGGCACGCTCAGGATATTCAGTCGTCTTGATATTTTGTACGGGAAAGTGTTTGTCGGTGGATCGAACTTTGGCTTACCCATCTTAGCTAGCTATTCAGAGAGTTATAATACTATGTTATGGGAGATGTTATTTGCGAGGCGTCGTTACATTTTATTGGTTTGTAATCGGTATGTAGGCAATTATTTTGTATCCATTTTTTGTGCTATATTTATTTTCCTGTGTTTGATGGTGTTGGGTTTGGCATGTGTCAAATAATTTCGAAAAGATTGTTTTGTTTTTGAAATAATAAATCTATGGATGAAGTCATAACATAATGAGTACAGTCAACAGTACGTCTGTAAATCAATTGCGGAAATTGACATATTGTGGTAACGTGACGTGCAGCCGTGAGTACAAGAAGCTGATATATTTTGGGTTTGAATTCGTCTTTTTAAGTTGTCCTAGATATGTTTGATTTAAGGTCTGGGCTATGGGCTGACCAAGGTAAAGTTGCAATACCGACGTCATTGCCAAACTAACATTACAGTTGCAAATAGAGCTTACTTTAGAACCTAAAGTGTCATAAAGGGCCTTTAAAATTTTACCAATCAAATCTTCCCAAGGGACCCCGACTATGAGTCGTTCTGTTCTGCATTAGAATTTATGATTTGTTTTATGTGTGTATCGATTATAAAACTATTTCAATTGTGTAGTTATTTAGTATTCCTTAACAGAATTCTAAACTACTGGACTTGTATTTTTCTTTTTAGTTTTTATTTAATTTTGCATGTATTTTTTAAAATTTGTTTTTACGCAGTCAGGTTTTTTCGTTTATCTTTAAATTATTTTTCGATTACAAACTTCATTGAAACAGTAGAAAGTACGAAACAAAAACTTATGACAATGAAGTTATTTCTCTTTCTAGCGTTTTGATAACAGGTTTAAAAAAAATTGCAAAGGTTTAAAACATTTTTATTAAAAAAATGTTTTGCTTTATTTGAAGTGCAACATTTGTTTTACATAAATACACATCTAAGAGTGGGCCCCTTAATTATTTGCTTATAATATATAATATATACAGTAAACTTTCTTTCGCAATGAAAATTCCGCTTCAGTCTTCCACTAACAAGTTAATATTTCACCACTTAATCCTCCGCCTCCGCCATTTATTTTCGTAAAGACCATTAGTGTGGGGATTAGGTGTAGTAACAATTTAACTTTAAGACAAAACGTAATATTAAGCAGGCTAGGAAAAAAAGTAAAAAACTATGTTTTTAAACGTTAAAATTTCCCATTGTAGATCTGTACTGCAACTCAAGATGCTACAATTTACCTAATTGCCACCCTATAACTGCTTGAAGAGTTAGTAAGATGCATCTTAGATCTCGGTCTCTCTCGATCATAGTAGCTCGGTGGCGTAGTGGATAAGCGCCGCGGCCCGCGATCGTAGTCGTTAAGCAACTTTCGCAAGGGTCGGTCACGGGATGGGTGACCAAAAAATTATTATCTCGAGCTACTCCGTGCTTCGGAAGGCACGTTAAGCCGTTGGTCCCGGCTGCATTTGCAGTCGTCAATACCCTCCAATCCGCATTGGGCCAGCGTGGAGGAACATGGCCCATCCTCCTTAACAATCCATAAGGAAGGCCTGCCCCTGCAGTGGGGACGTGAAAGGGCTGGTGATGATCTTAGATCTACTATAACCCTTACGGAGTTAATATTCATACATTTGCTTCCTTTGTAGCACTCAAAGGTCTGACGGTAGCCTGTAGCTCTATTACACCGCTTGCAGAGTCACTAGACACTTAAATACATCTTTTACAACGCTTTAGGACTCAGTTAGCGCTTATGTACCTCCACAATAACTATACTACACCTCTTAAATGCATTCTGTAACTCTACTATATCGCCATAGTGGAACCTAAGGTCATAAGAATTTGTGCCCAATCCAGGGGTACAGTATAGTTATAGCCCCCTTTAACTCAACGTGATAGCACTGATTGAACACCACAGGATCTGTTTAGCTCTTTAGTAGATCTGTTCTAACTCTTATGTTAGCGCCTAAAGTTACTTGGGTGGTGTAATCAGTGACGATTCGAGCGACATCAATTCCTAATCAGCCCGTAACCCAGATCTTAACCAGATTAACCCACTCTGATGAGTGGTTCCGTGTTCGCATAAGACTAAGGTGTTGGTGATATTTTTAATTAAGAGTATACCAATACTATTGGACACATTTACAATCAATTAAATTATTAAAAAAATACATTTGACTTATTTATTTACCCCTGGCTACCGTTATCTACTACCAGTTCCAAAATTGGGTGTCTTGTCTGAGAAGATCTGGCGAAACAAACTCCCGACAAGAACAGTGAATTGTTCCCTTTTATTTAATATTTACAGAATGAACTAACGGTGTCTTTGGATTTAGCAATGTGTGCTCTGAATTGAGATTTTATTTTACTAGTTACTGGATCCCAAGCTAGTGGTTTATGTCAATGTTTTATAAGTTAAATCTATTTTTTTTAGAACCTTACCCCGCACTCCAACCTGTAAGGAACGAAATAGGCTCCTCCCTACCGAACAACGTTAATCTGGTTGCTATACCAATACTCGAAAAGACGTATTAGTTCCACTGGCCTTGACGTGTCATGTAATTCCTGGTATATCCTCGATTGTAACAAAAAAATCTCTTTGTTTTAGTGCCTGATTTATGTCCTGTATATCTCCGGTAAGCCCCGGTCTTGTTTGATAATCCGAGAAAGTGTCCTCGGTGGGATTTTCATTACTCTGGAAAGGATTTTCTGCTTCCTTATGGGATATCGACGAATTTTGGCCTTGACTGCATTAACAGCCTGGTTTGTCCGAATAGACTGCGGTCGGTCGGATTTCTCACGGCCATTAACAGACATGATTTCAATGTACCTTTGGATGGTACGATACACAAACATTCGGCTAATCCTTAGCTCTTGAATGTATCAAAAATGTCGGCTGGCTCCTTACCTTTCCTACTTAGAACAGTAAAATTACTGCAATCCTATTCTCTTTAGAGCCCCACTCCATTTTCAAAAAAATAATTTCTAAACAAAAAACATACAATTTTACTATCGTAGAAACTAATGCTCGAAATTCAAATTGAATGTTTTTTTGAAATGTATGTAAACAGCCAGTAACAGAATTTATGGCTAGACTAGGTATAATACAGGATTTAGGACAGGACTAGTTACGAAGAATCAAATAAAACAATAAACTCGTGTAGAAACGTTTGTATTAAATCTTAACAAACAGCTTTGCCTTGTAAATTCATAACATAAATACTGATCTCTCACATACTTAACAACAGCTTTCCTTCACATCTGTTTCACCTATAAAACGAGTCATGTGAATTGACTTTTAGAGATCCCTTACGGAAACCATAATAAAAAACTACTGAACAATGCAAGACACAATCGAAAAGCAATTTTTAATCGCTAACAACTGATTATTTTACAATAAGAGCCCAACTTATTATTCATATAATAAAAATTTCAAACTGTAATATTCATCAAATAATTGACCTAACGCAAATTTTATAGGTGAAAACTAATAAATAATGACAAATACAGGAATGTCATTAAAAAAGGGGCATATCATCGCCAAAACATATAAAGGCTAATACCCCTTTGAGATTAATTGATAATAATTTAATATTTAATCAACATATGTTTCAAAAAATTTTGAAGCAAAAAGTTGAGCGCATATCAAAAAAATAAATTTTAATAATTGACCACGACATTTTCTTTTAAGCAAATAATACTTATCAAAACCTTCAAGTATAAAGTTCATTCGTTTAATTACTAACCCACATTTATTATACGTAATAATTACATAATGTTAATAGTGTAAATATATATACCTATATGTATATATATAGTGCAAAAAATTAAGAATTATATTTGTTCTTAGTAAAATTGTTGAGAGCAATTTATTTATTTAACAATGATATAACTTTTATTTTATACAGATAAAACGAATAACTGGAACATTTTGAACAATTTTGTTTCTCTCTTAACCAAAATAAACTTATGTATTCAAAACAATGTTAAATGAATATTACATTAAAAACAACAACTATAACAAAAACATCCTTTAAAATAAAAATAAAATATTGTCACTGGTATAAATTTTGAATGTACAGGTTAAACACATACTACCATACATGCTGTGGCGCTACTAAAAAAATTACTAGCGAATCTTTTGGAAAAATAAACGTTTCATATTGCTGTCTCGCTTGCTCTTTACTAAAATTTCTCCACACACGCTCTATGCATTCAATCGGGTTACATCTTTCAAATCGATGTAGAAAAACACTTATTGAGTTTTTAGTAAGTAAATATTGATGGTAATTTGTCAATGATATAGACTTATATCTATTCGCGCTCACGTTTAGCCAAAATTTTAACAGCTTGTATAGTATATTTAAGTCTTTGTTTTAAATACATAAAATTTTGAAAAAAAAAACTTAACATCTTACTGTAATTATCAAAAGAGAGTAAAAAGGACTGTTACCCTGTTCTTTGAGTAAAAATATAAAGTTATATTATTGTCTATGCCCAATGTTCTTGTCAGTGGTTTAAGCTGCGCTATTTTGTGTCGACATTAATGGTTGCGATGACGCTGGGCTGGGATGCTTCACGTACGGGTGTTGGTGGGTCTTCAATGATTTTTTTGTGTTCATTTCCTCTGTTGAGGATGCTGTCAAAACATAATTAGATGTAAGAAACCTTTTTTAATGCGAAAATATTTTACTGTGTACATGAGTCGAATGTAGGTTAATGTAAAGTTTTTACAACAAAGATATCAATAAAATCTAGAGAAACTAATATTTTAACATATTTTTTATTCGAAATGCTAATGGCATATTAAAGTTTGATCATGAACTTTTTATCTTTATTGTGATATTTTTAATAGTTATATTAGGCATATCGCGTAACAAATTCGAGAATATATTATTCTAAAGTATAAAACAACAGTATTTAAATTTGATATAACTCATGGTTGAAACAAGTGAGATGATAAAAGACTCGTTCACGCGATGACATCGGACATTGTTATTAAGATAAAAATTCCAATACAACATAGGGCCAGCGAAAATCTGACGTAAGATTCGTCGCGTACATCCTTTTCTATGTCTAATGGGATTATTTTATGCACACGCGGTATAGGAGACTCTTCCTCCGCAAGGATCCCCCCGTCCGAAGGCTAGTCAAAACGTTGATAGCGGAATACACAATAACCCTCTCCAATACACCTTCACTTTTGGCAGAGGGGGCTGGGATACCGATTCCGGAAAGTATGCCTCCAAACCGAAACCCCGTATTACATACAAAAATATATCTATCTTGTTACACCGAGATATTTAAGTTTTTTTATTTAATTTATAGATAAGTAAATGAATATTTTGAATTTGTCGAGTGGACGAGTCTCTTCAGTTAAATAATTTTGTGTTAGTACATACTGTGTTTTACTACTAACATGCAAAGAAAAGAGAATAAAAGGTTAATTGCAAAGAAAAGTATGCAATACAGAAACACAATAAGGTGCAAATAACATGTAGAAGAAAGAAAAGTGTACAAAAAAGGTATATATTAATTAATATGTTTGATCAATGTCAAAATAGTATAAAAATAATACATTTTCAATTCGTTATCTAAACTAAAAGTTATCGAGTGTAATACGATTAGCTTTTTTATTATACCACGGATGATTTATTATAAGACTATTAATAAGGACTAAATCTGAAGAAGTTTTGTTATCTTAATAACACATAGTAATAGGTTAAAATTTAATAGTCTAGGATATTTAATGCAAATATACATATAAGGATAAATAAATAATCATAAGAAAAATATAGACAGAAACCAATTCAAGCAAAACCAGATACATATATTTACAAGCACACATCTCCTTTGTTTCTGAAAAGAATTGCAAGCTATACGAAAATAGTGAACCGTCACCCATGATTTTTTTCAAATATATTTTTCACGGACATACCTCCCCTATATTTTCACACAACGCAACGCGTATGATGTTGATGACGATAATTTTTATATGGAAACAAAAAAAAAACACACTCTTGAGAATCACATGTTTTTACACCCCCGTTTTAAAAAATAACCAATGCCGCCTTATTGTAAAACGAGGACTAAGTTCAGTACCAGGTTTAAACCGTTATCCGATCAAAATATGTCAACAGATAACAATTTGACGTTTGCTATTTTATTGTTAATTTAGCTTTATGGTTAATTAGCTAAATTAGGCAGCCAACTTTATAATTTTAGAGTTTAAACTAAACATTATCTTTAGTACTCGTTTTATAAAAAGACTGATAAGGTTGACAACTGCTGAAGATGGTTTTAATGTAATGTCAAAAAATATTGTATATAGATACAATAACTCATTTAATAAATAAATCTTAGATAAATAACTATTATAGTCTTATATATTAATATCATACTCTCTATAGGTACTGTGACTTCATACGTACGAATCGTGAATCGGACTTTAATAAAGCTTCATTTTACTAAGATGTATATGCCATCATTGTTGTATTGCAGGCTTTCCCAAAATGGGCGATAACGCCACCTTGTGGGCGCTGCAGGTCTAAATGGGGGCAGTACGAGAGCCAGAAAAATAAATGGGGGCGTTGTGCAGAGGCTTAGGGGCTTGTGTACTACCTACTACGTTCAGGTCTCAAGTTGACTCTTGCGGTTTATAGTAAAAATCTCGTTAAGAATGAATGTTTAATCTCTCCTAATATAGCTCACAACAATTAAGTTTATTTGAAGCTATAATAGTATGGGTGACAAAATGAGGGACGCTAAAAATTATTGATTCTAAAAGTGGGCGGTACACGAACAATATTTAGTAGGACATAATATTTATATGAGGAGAACATTCAAAGCACAAAAGAATGTTCAAAAATAATAATAAAAAATTTATGATGACCTAGAACAAACCTAGAATAAATCTAGAATTTATTTATACCCGAGCTTTCCTATATATGAAAGAGTGTTTTTGTAAATTTTATTTGTCCTGTTGTAAAGTTACAGGAGGCACAAAATGTGTTCGGGTTTCGCTACTTATTATACGAATTAGTATAACACTATTAGTAGCTTAGCAATAAGACCACTTTTTGCATGTATGTTTGTATTTCTTGTTGTTTTATGTGATCGTTTTAAGTGCAATAAATTATATTCAATCCATCATTATATAAAACACTATCTACAACAGTTGTCAATTTTAATCATTTATTAATCGACCAATGTGAATGAGACATTGGTCCACAGGTCTCTTGTGCCCCATTTTCATTGGTTATCGAATGTCGACCAATAAAACTACAATAAAGCTTAGTGTTAATTCCATTGTAAGATTGCATTCCTTTGAAACTCTGTGATATTAACTTATTAGCAGAAAATAAAAACTGAGGGTATTATAAGAAATTCAAAGTAGTAAATTATCTTGAAAAATATTTGGTGAAATAGAAATTAATTTTAACAAATAACTCGCGCAGTTTTTGAAATGCACTTCATTATAGTACTCACTATGCACATTTTTTATGTGTGAGTTGAATTAATAAATATTTAATCATATTTATAAGAAAAAGCTTATTTAATGAAAAATGAAAACAATGAAAAACCGTGCATAACATTAATTGTATACATACTGTTAAAAATTGTATATGTAATTTAATTTGTAGAGTAATTCATATTGACGCTAAACAGATTTTTTCCATTACATAAATATATAATTATTATTATATTTGTATTTGGTCTCGATACAACTTAAAGACGACCCTTAATTTACTAATAATGACTCGAAAAATCAGTATGTATGCAATTGTAAAAAATACCAATTATTTTCCGAACAAAACCACATAAACCGTTTCGGTATTTATAATATAAAAAAAGCTTCTCATTAATCTAAAAACAAAACATTACGGGAACTTTGATAGCTTATAAAAAAATATTAGACGACAGCTCTAAAAAAATATATGCATGGGATTTTAGCGCATAATAATATGAACAGAAAGTTATTAATTGTACGTACCACGCTTTGATTTTCTGATAGATGTAGATGGTTGTCATGGGTATGGGCGTCATTATAGCCGCCGCAACCGGTATCACTGCGATGAAAATTTATTAATATAAAAATATATCAATGACAACTTATAAGTTGTTATTCCATAGAAGTCGCATACAACAATCCCGTTTCTATTTCATAGAACTCGCACACACACTCATGTTGTTACAAATCACGTTCTTATTCCATAGAATGTGAGTAAACTTTTTGATTAAATATAGTTAAATCAAACTTAATATATTTCTGAAGACTAAATTATTAAAATTATTTTATTTAATTTCGTATTATAATACAATAGTACATAAATTTTAAAAGAATTGGTAATAAAAAAACCCGACTGCGTGAAAACAAAAGAAAAAAATATATAATTAATTACTTTCACTAAATATTAAAAAAGAAAAAAGCATGTCTAGTAGTTTGAAATGTTATTAAGTACTACTGAATAAATGCTCTATTGGAATAGTTTTAAAATATATAGACACTTAAAACATATCATAAATTCAAAAAGCAGAACAGAAGGATCAACAGTTAGGACCCCTTCAAATTATACGGGGCTCCGTTGATTAGTCAAAAGGATTCGGTAGTACTTAATGCCATTCCAAACAACTGGGCTTGTTTTTTTCTTTTTAGTGAAAGTAATTATATATTTTTTTCACTTCTTTCTTTTGTTTTCACGCAGTCGTGTAAAAAGGATATAAAACATATTAATTGATTATGCAATATTAGTACAAATCGGTAAGCAAAGTCTAATATGATATTAGATGGTTACCTGTAGTGATATCAGCTTCTGGCTGATCGAGCGCATATCTAAGCAGGAATATGGCTATGCCGGTATTCTGTATACCGGTCTCTATGGATATGGCGAGTGCATCTTCGTGTGGTCGCTTGCAGATCCACGCGAGGAAATAACCGAACATGTAGCCGAGCCAGGGGATTCCCATACCGGCTACTATTATCTACAAATAAAAAATGAAATATATTACTCGTACGAATTAACAGATTAGCTTTTTCTCCGAAAAATAAATTTCGTAAGGACCTGACTCTCATGCACAGACAATTATCACTGATATGATTTCTTTTTTTAATTAAAATTATAAAAACGATTCGAAATTTTCCGACTTTTCGTACGAGTTGTACTAGTATAGTAAATAAATATTAAAAAACACATATATTTGCACTTCATTATCGATATATAAACACAACTACTTTATTTCTTTTTCATTTTACGCCCCTCGATTAGGAAACGAAACAAAAACGTCATTATTTTATGATTTAATAAAAGAATGAAATTTAAGTTAGGTAGTGAATCAGTGCAAGTTCTTTAAAAATTCATAAGTGTCGGAAGACAATAATAGTTCTGGACATAGAGGAGCATTGTTCGTTTTCGTATCAAGGGGGTTTATGGAATAAAAAAAAATTTCCTATATAACCTTTTAATATTAGGCAAATGATGAACGTCTGAAGTTCCACATCATTACAAAGAGTAACATTTACATAGTTATCATTACACTATCGATACTATTGCTGTTACAATCTTAATCAAAGGCTTATCGAGTCTTGCAAGGCAAAGATAAACTAGAGATAATAAATTTTTGGTCTCCCATCCGAAAACCGACCTATGCAATAATATTTTAATCTTCGCAATCCCGGGTTGAGCTCACTAAGGGGCATCGATTTAATATAAAACTAAATATATTTAAGATAGAAACTGTAGTATGTTCGGTTGACATGTTCGGTTGACTTCTCATCTTTTACTACTTGAGCAGGAAAGTACATTGCCAGTTGCACAAACGTCTATTAACATTATCATTAAAAAGACATTACCCATACAAACGTACATTACCAAGATTAAGCTGAGATCGTTGGCGCAGTGGTTAGCGCGCTCGACCTGCGAAGCAGTTGTTAAGCAACTTTCGCAAGGGCCTGGCGTAGGATGGGTGACCAAAAACTTATTATCTCGAACTCTCCGTGTTTCGGAAGGCACGTTAAGCCGTCAATCCCAGTTGAATCTGCAGTCGTTAACACGCACCCATCTGCACTGGCCTCGCTTGGTGGGTCATGGCCCGTTCTCCCTATTCGATTCCTTCCATAGGGGGAGCCTGAGCAGTGGGGAAATTAATATTCTGGTGATAATGACGACCGATATTAAAGAATAACACTCACCCTCCACGTGAACAGCTTGAATATGTACAGATTTGTGACTATAGCGAATATAATGATGAACAGCAGAACCGTGGTGGAGAACACCTTCAGTATCCGCACCATGAACGCGGCCACGCGCGGCGTGTACCGCTGCATGGCCAGGCCGATGCCGAGCGGTATTATGAGGCCGACCACGAACATGGCTATGCGAGAGTACGGTACCACTATATCCGCGTTACGGAACACCACCTGGCCGAGGGAGAACAGCCACATCGGCATGAAACCTGAGCGGATAAAAAATTTATTACTTTTGAAATCTTATTGAATAGTTTTAGGGTTCCATAGCTCAAAATGAAATAAAGATTTAAAAATCTACTTTATTTTTTTACGTTTTAGTGCGCACAAATAAAAGAATTTTTATCTAAAGAGCTCAAATACGTTGCGTTATTTCATTACTAAGTTCCTATGATCACCTTCTGACTTTATCATTAATATTACACCGTAATATTGCATTGTCATCTAACTTACATGTTTATGCAAAATTTCAAATCTATCGAACGTGGGTGAAATTTGAGTTCCGAGATTTGCGCACTAACATACTAACAAGGCTAGTTAAATAAAAGCATGTAATAAAATAAAAATAGAATAGTGAGAATAATTCTGTACTACGTTATACGAAAACCTATATAGAGACTATCTTTTTCTAATTTTTATATTGTTATGGAACCTTCATTTGCATTTTTTGTAAAATTCTTGAGTAAATAAAAACATATCTATACTGATATCATAAAGAGGAACGATTTGATTGTTTGTTTGAATTAAACAGGATCCAAAACTACAGAATTGATTTTTAAAATTCTTCCACCTATATGAAGCTACATCTTAAGTGCCATAGGCTCTATTTACACGGGCGAATTTTCGGGAAAAGAACACTCATATAATATAAGAAGGTATCTTACCGAACGAGGCGAGGGTGGATATGGTGGTCATGGCGAGTGACAGATTGAGATTCCCACCCAGTATAAAGGTCCATATGTTAGAAGCCCCGCCCCCTGGTGCTACGCCCGTGAAAAACATGCCCAGACGTAACGCCGCCGCCTCCGCCGGGAATATCAGGTAACCCAATCCGAATGACATCTAACAATTCAATCAATCCGAATGATATGTAACAATATAATCAATCAGAATAACATCTAGGAATGTAATCAATCAGAATAACATCTAGGAATGTAATCAGTCAGAATAACATCTAATAATGTGATCGATCAGAATAACATCTAACAATGTGATCAATCAGAATAACGTCTAAATGCAATCCAAATTATAAATACTAACTAAAGTATTTATTTTATTTGAGTCATCGGCTTTATGTTGATTTATTCAATCTCCGTCTTATTACGTAAAAACACTATTTATTTATCATATTTTCATCTGAGCATGTGTTAAAAAATATCATAAGGAAACTTAAAAAAATATATAGCAAACGTAAAATTTCATCAAACTGTTGTATTATTTTAAAATAATTGATTATAATTCATCAGTAGAATAAGTTACATACCAAGGGCATGAATAGGAATTGTCCAACCATCCCTATGACTGGACCAATGGGTTTCTTCATTACTTCCTTCACAGTAGGCCAATGCATTGCACAGCCGAAGTTAATGAAAATCAACGACACCTAAAAATAAAACACCCATATTACTGCTAAAGCCCACTAATAAATAGCGTAATTATAATAAAGTATATTGCCAATCGATACTAGGAAAGATCTCAGTTTGATATATTCAAAAAACGTTCAAAAATTATGTAAGTAGATATCAAAGGTTTATTCTGTAATATATATTTTTTAAATCTAACAAAATAGGACCGGGTAAAATACAATTTACTCACGAAAATGGCAACACTGCTGACGAAGATTGTGTCTATGACCCGCTCTGGCCTGAGAACAGTTACTGAGAGGTTATTATCGGCTGTGGCTACCTCATCATTCCGTTTTGCTTGCACAGATATGTTTGTTCGACCTAAAATAACAATAATACGAGTATTATTAATAGAAATGATTTGTAATATATTGACAGTTCATATATTATTTGCATAATCTGTAGCTTTTATGGCAAGTATTTACTTGGACTGGGAATATAAACCTCCCCTGGAAATAATATAGTACAATAATATTTTTAATTAAAAAGTTAAATAACTATCTGTAGATAAACAGTAAAAGACGAAGTAACATCAATCAACGAATTAACAGATTAATATATGAATTCAACCATATGTGCAACAAAAATAGTTCTTATTTCTTTGCAACTCACCAAGAAAATTCCCATACACCCGTACCCTTCCTTGCCACTTATTACTGGCTGCATCCACCTCTGTCAGTTTGTATGAAGAGTTCATCACCACTGTTGCTACATCTAAATTTCCTGATGTCAACGATATTTCATCACCTGGCATAAATCCGTTACCTGGGGAAAACGGAAAATAATATAAATGATGACATTCCTTCGCAAAGGATATAGCCGTAAGCGCCGCGGCCCGCGATTGTTGTTGTTAAGCAACATTCGCAAGGGTCGGTCACGGGTTGGGTGACTAAATATATGTTATCTCCAGCTACTCCGTGCTTCAGAAGGCTCGTTAAGCCGTTGGTCCCGGTTGCGTTTGCGGTCGTTAATACCCTCCAATCCGCATTGGGCCAGCGTAGAAGATCATGGCCCATCCTCCATAACCATCCATTAGGAAGGCTTGAGCCCCTGCAGTGGGGACGTAAAATAGGTGATGGTGAGGATGACCCTGCACAAACAACAAAACAATTCTGGCCACTAGCCAACAATAATTGTAGAGACGCCCCTAATGACAATACCCGCAAGAAGGTGAGCCCTTCCGTGGGCTCTAGTGGTAACACGAGCGTTGACGTTATCACGCTGAGCGTTGACGTTATTACGCTGAGCGTTGACGTTATTACGCTGAGCGTTGGAGTCTAGTCGTGAATACGCAGAATCTATGGAAACCTTTTGAACGACTTATACCCGGTTTCTGTATTGGGAATTGGAAGTTGAGCACATCTCAAACCGTGTTAAAGCCATTTTAAAAGTCAATCAAACAGGTTTTCCTTACTGATTTATAGTTTTTTAATGATCAGTTGATAGCAATTTGATAAAACTAGGACTTTTTGCCATATGAAACGTAAAAAACTTAAGTTATTCAGAATAATCAGCTGAGATTTTGTGCTTTTCTCAATTCAGAAACCGTCCGTTAGTAATATATTGGGGTATTAATTGAACCATAAATTGAGAATTCAACTCAAAATAACTTATAGTAAATATATTTTTATCTGTCTCAATGGTGACTATTAGTTTTCGGTAAATTATGCCATTAAATACTACGATTTTGTCTCAGTTTAATTTGTCGTCAAAGTAATGTACATACTATGATATTTGATGTTATTGAAACAAATATTCAATATACGAGGGTCAAACTGAAAGTTCTTAGAAAATCAAAAACTGATTACATTAGCCAGTTATTAGTTTTATTATATCTTTTCAAAATATTGTCCATTCACGTCAATACACCGCTGCATGCGATGGAACCACTGGGAAAAGCACTTTGCCCACTCGTCCTTAGGGGTCTCTTCAATGGCATCGCGATACGCAGCCACCGCTTCTTCAGCATTCATAAACCGCTTTCCTTTAAGTTTTTCTTTAATTTTTGGAAATAAATAAAAATCACAAGGCGCGAGGTCGGGGCTATACGGCGGGTGACCCAGTAATTCAACGTTTGATGTCGCCAAATAGTCGATCGTTCGCTTGGCGGTGTGCGACGAGGCGTTGTCGAGGTGAAGGAGGATCCTACTGCGAGGTCGTTTCTCTCGAACTTTTTCCAAGACAAGTGGCAAACAATTGGTAGTGTACCATTCTGCAGAAACTGTTTTTTGATCCTCTAACACAATTGTTGCAAAATGACCTATCCTTCCAAAGAACGAGGCCACCATTTTTTTTCCCGCACTTCGATCTCTCTTCACTTTAGTTGGCAACTCCTCGAAAGGAAACACCCACTGAGCAGATTGTCTTTTGGTTTTAGGATCATAACAGTAAATCCAGCTTTCGTCACCTGTTAGTATGTCGAACACAGCATTTGAGTCACCTCCGTTAAATCTTTCAATCATTTTACGACACCAATCCACACGATGGAGTTTTTGAGCCTCAGTCAAATTATGAGGTATCCACCGGGCGCAAAGCTTCCTGACCGCTAAATGTTCGTGGAGGATTTTGTGCACTTGACTCATACCGATGCCTAAGCTTGTCCGAATCTGTTGATAGGTCACTCTTTTGTCAGTCTCTATCATACGCCGCACAACACAGATGTTATCTTCAGTCGTCGCCATAGAAGGCCGTCCCTCACGTAAATCATCAGTGAGATTAGTGCGACCACGTTTAAACTCATTAAACCAGTTGTAAACAGTCGCACGAGATGGGGCTTCATCGTGAAAGGCCAATCGTAGTCTATCATAACTTTCTTGTTGACTTAAATGACATCGAAAGTCATAAAAAATCATTGCACGAAAATTTTCTCGTGTTAAATTCATGATGGCGTGACACAGACAATTTTCAATTTGCCGCCAAATCGTAAAACAAATGACAAATGAATGAAATATATACTCAGTAATATTGGCAAAGAGTTATATTTTCAAATTTTAGAATTATTTTTTTATTATATTGTTTATAAGTGGCCAGTTCTAAGAACTTTCAGTTTGACCCTCGTATACAGAATAATGATAATATACATATACTAACTTGTAACATTGACGTCAACGTATGCCGTGTAGTCCATGTGTACTGAGACTGACTCTGGTTCGAATATAGCCTTCAGAGTTAAGGGTAATTGCTGACACAGCACCCACAGCGGACATAGCGCTAGTAGGTACAGGATGATCAGGTGCAGGGGCCATATTGGGCACATGATGACCCTTGATTAAATCTGGAAAGAAACATTTAAAATTAATAAGGATGTCGCTAACTATATAAAGGAATTTAGGTATACAAGAACACAAACAACAAATAAAAGTGTATTCTTAAATTATTTAATAAGAAGACGTTCATGTTAACCTGTTGATGGAACTAAGCTACAATAATAGTATTAAGTGGTTAAGGTTGGCACTGGCACTCTGAGATGGCACTCGTTCTCATGACCATTCTCAATCCAGCCGACTGCTCTATTCACTGAGCTACCCAAGACCTAACAGGACTGACGATTTTATCAAGCACTCGTTATTTTTTCGCTACTACAGGAGCGTATTTGCATAAATGTTCAGGAAATCTACCCACACAGGCGAAAGAAATATTTTTACAAATATTTAAATTTTAGATGAATGATAAAGTGTTTCCAAATCTCCACGGCCACGGGCCACGGATACGATTGTTTGCGAACTGTGCGCATGTATTATGTAACGTGATTTGGTCTGCAAGCAAAATGTTCTTGAAATAAACAACGTATGAAACTCATGCACGAGTTGCCCTAAAGAGACTTTGCCCTGAGAGTAAGGAGTCAAGACTGAGACTTTGCCCTGAGAGTAAGAAGTCTTTTATTTTGTAAAGGGAATGCATTATGCACTGTCAAGCTGCAGAGGAGATGCGTAAGTCTCCATCCGCATGGTCCCACCCAAAGGCTAGTCAAACGCGGATGGAATACCCACTTAACTCCTTTGATACTCTTTCGTGTTTAAGGTAAGGAAGGATTCAGAAGGGACTGTTCCCAGCTTAGCCTTGGACAGAGAAAAGAGCCTAGCGTGTTCAATTAAATTGGTCTTTCATTATAACGTCATAATGAGATAACACTTTATATCAGTTAATCCTTGAAAAAAATTTTCATAATTCTGCTTTAAAAATTTTAGCACGAATACTCGTGTTATGACTCGTTAAACGTTCATGATATTTGCTTTATTCGTTTATTTTCATTTACTTTTTGGAAGGTATACAATTATAGGGTTTTCTCATTCGTTTTTAGTATTATATGAATAAAATAATATTTCCTGTTAAGTGTAATACTTAATTTTAAACTTATTAACATTAAATAAAAAAGCAAATATATTATTTTCGTATTGATTACAGGAAAACCAGTCAAAGTCAGTAGTTTTCTTTTAAATTATATTTATTCGAGATCCTCAATAAGATAAGTGATTTTTCTTGATCAGTTTTTTTTGTGATGCATTTACATTGCATCCAATTGGCAAATCTTAACTTTTTTGCCATTAGCATGCAATAATGTATGTTTTCACATAATTAGATTCACTTTTTATAGGTAACTAAGGAAGGATATCGCTATTAAAAGGCTATTATCAATATTACAAATAAATACAGAATATCCAGTTATTATGTAGTTAAAATAGCTATATTACAATAAAAAAGATTAGCGGAAGTCTAATTAATATAATTGTAGTAATTCTAGTAAAGTAAAATAAATAGTATAATTACTCACATAAGTAATAAGTAAAAATAAAATATTTCACACTAACAGTTCATCACTGTACGACACCACTGTTACACGTCACGACCTAAACACGACTGGACCGATTCAATATAATTTGAATGACGCCAATATCCTACACTATGTCGTATCTATGAACATAAATCCATAAAATCTTCGATTATAATGATTCTTATATCTAACGTAGCAGAGTCGGCGTTAGAGCTGAGACTTTCATGATATTTAAAGCATACTTATAAATCGCGACGTTGATAGACTCCCGTGTTGCGGGTCACGTATAGATAAGTTCTGATAAATCACTATTTAATTAGTTATTAATACATTTTATCTGTGACGACGTATATTACCTGGACAACAACGGGGTTGACAATAATTGAGAAAAACTGGCTAAGTGCCAGTCACTCTCGTAAAACGTCAACGTTTTCCTGTTATCTATAAAATTATGACATCTTCGATTAGACCGACGAATAAATGGAGAGATCGATAATCTATATATCAGTTTTGTTTTATCCTTTTGAGGTACGGAACATTATAAGATAAGTTTTTTTTTACTAATAATTAGATTATAGAAAAAGACGTCGTAAAAAATATTAATGTGATCTATCTTAACTCGTACGAATTAAAATTACATTTGAGGGTTTATTCTGTTTGTCCTCGAATGAAAATTCGAAAAATTTCGAATCGTCAACAACAATTATCTGTGCATGAGAAGCAGCGTCAGGGTCTACCTCCGTTACATCATAAATTACCGAAAATGTCCCCATCAAATTAAACAGTAATCTAAACCGAGAAAAAATATTTTGAGACTAACTATTTTTTTTTCTCAGCTAGCTACAAGAAAAAAAGAGGGGAATAAATATCTCTGTTGCTTATCAAGTATTGTTTTCGAAGAAGTTGAGATTAGAATTTCAAATTTATTTTAAATGTATTCTCTTGTTTCGGTGGACGTGCGCAACCAACGGGAATATGCGCTGACCTTCTCACCGTCCAGATTGTAAAACTTAAGACCTATTCTGTTTCTCCGAAAACGAAAATTCGTTTATTTTCGAAACCCTAACACGACTCTAAAGGAACACATTTTTCGATAATCAATAATGAAACGGTGGTTCGACCTTGACCCGGCTTCTGATGCACAGGTAATATTGAGGCATATAATTTTAATAAAATTGTAAGAACGATTCGATTTTTTTGTAATTTTCGTTCGTAGACAAACTGAGTAGCCCCTCTTATGTTTCATCCAACAGAAGAATGGCGTAATAATTGCGGAACTGTGAAATATTGTTATCTTTTAACTTTTGAAGCAAATGTAGTTGCATTTGGTTGTACAGTAATTGTCGGAATACTATAACTGTACAGTACTCGTAGCCTGACAAACTCGAGAATGTTTAGTCTACACCCAACACTTTTCTCGGGTGTGCTCCTACAATATCGCACTTTCGACTCGACCCGAAAAATAATCGTTTGGTGCAGGACATAGCGTTTCTAGAGTTTGCCATGCTACCCGTGCAGGTATAGTTACTACGTAGGCGGGATGATAAATAGCTAGCCCAACCCATATTTTGTATAATAACGATATAAAATCTCCTTAGTATTTTACTCATTGGTTCATTAGCTAGCCAGTGTTCCAAATTTCAAATCGATTGTATAGTTTTTCTTTTAAATATTGACATTTCAAAAAGCATTCTTTTGTTTTTTGTGCAAAATGGATAAAAGTGAGCTACGAGTTGTGATAAAGTTTTTAAATTTAGAAGGATTAAAGGTGGAGAGATTTTTTCGGAGATGAAGGATGTTTTGGGAGAAAATGCTCCTTCATATGCGACCATAAAAAATTGGGTGGCTGAATTTAAACGTGGCCGTACCAGCACCCAAGATGAACATCGTCCAGGACGTCCAAAAAGTGCCACTAGGGGAGACCGAGGTGAGTTGTGACAAGGAGGATTTCTCTCTACCTATTATAGTAAGTGAGATGGCTTTAACGCTTGTTTGTCGTTCTCGACACGCGCTACACGACTTAGTACCTGCCGACGGTGCATATGGCACAGTTGCGTAAATATATCGTCAGTGTACCGAAAATTGCGAAAAGTAAGTTTTTCTTCAAAATATTATTTGAATATATATCATATCTTAGTATATGTGCATTGATGTGTTATTTTTTCTTAAGTTATGTAGTTATTTAAGTCTCAATACGTGGCACTGATTTTTTGTATGCGCATCGTGTTTAGAAAATATGAATTATTATTCGGACCAAGACGTCATTTTGAACACCTAGGCGAGTTGTGACAGCCTGTCACAACTCTCCTATCTGACTCCATATTTCTGCTAGGCTATTTTTACAATTTTTTTTATTAACTTTAGATGATTGTTGTTGTGTTAGTAGCTACTTAAGGTGTATAATGGCATACCGCATACTTATTTTATTTGAGAATGCCAAATAACTATACAGAGACTGAAAATCTAAGAATGTTAAGAAGCGTGTCTTAAGCGAAGAAAAAATAAAGAAACCCAAAATACCAAAGAAGACTAATAAGAAGAATAGAACAAGTGATGAAGAAGATGCAGAAAATAATTGCTTTTATTTGGTTTGCCTTAAAGCCTATGCAGACAGCCGATCGAATGATCAGTGGGTCCAAAGCCTTGAATGCAAAGGCTAGGCACACGTAGATTGTACTGGGGACGAGCTGCATTACGTTTGGCATAATTGTGAATCTGATTAGATTAAGATTTTATACTAATTATAACAATAATATGATTGATCTCAAAGCGATACCATATTTTGTTAATGAAAATATTATAATTACTTGTTATGAGAATATTAATACTATGTTGTTTTAGTTGGTAGGTATTAAAAGATGATTAATCAAGTCAAATCAAATCAATCTTTATTGTTGATCGCAGGTTATAAAAAGATATTGGATGCAAGGACTGAATAGTTACACCGTGATCTGCCTAAAAGGCATACAATATTAGTAGGTTAGTAATTGTCAACTAATCTAATCAATAACATGTTATGTCAAAAATTCAATTAATTCATTAAGTATTTATACATTTACAAAGTACTGTCAGCTAGATTAGTCGTTTACACTATAATTTGCTTTAGCTACTAATAATTTACAAAGTTTTCTTTTAAAAACATTACAATTATACAGATTACGTATTGTTTTCGGAATTTTATCAAAAATTTTTGGAGCCATACAAAAGATACTTTTGTTCAACACAGCTGTCTTAGAGGGTATCGTACACAATTTGTCTCGATGACGCAATCTCGTCTTATTTTCAAATAGTTGTTGATTCTGTTTGACAAAAATACCAACTTCGAATAGATATATAGATTGATGGCAGGGTCATAATATTTAGTTTAATAAAATATGGCCTACAGGTATCCGTACTCTGTAAATGACATATGCTCCTAATACATTTTTTCTGGGCTCTAAAGGCAGTTACAGAATCAGTCGAATATCCCCAAAATATAATGCCGTATCGAACAGTTGAAACTACGTACGCGTGATAAGCTGTAAGGACCGTGCACTGATTCGCGATCCTACTAAGTTTGTACAGTGCACAAGAATACTGGGACAACTTTTTGCAAACATGTTCAGTGTGTGTTTTCCAAGTCAAATTTATTATTATAGTACTGATTAAAGTACTGATTTGATAAAAAAACGTGCTTGATTTATTTATGTCGTATGTAATGGTATTTTTATATCTTATAGCTTAAATACAATGATGTCACAACTTACCTCGGTGGTAGGAGAGTTGTGACAAGGGGAGTGGACTTGAATTTTGTTATTTTTTTCAGAAACTATTATACTTTAATTAATTTTAGTGATGGTTTTGAAAACAGAAGGAATGGCGCTAAACTAATTCACATGAGTCATAACTGTGGAATGTTTCTTAAGCGAGATAGAGCCCCTTATGTAAAAATTGTCACAACTCTCCTAGGTCTCCCCTACTCTAGAAATTGTGATCAAAATTCTTGATGCAGTTTTAGCTGACCAAAGATTGAAACTTTCCGAGATAGCTGATACTGTAGGCATCTCTAAGGAACGGGCGCATTACATTTTGACTCAAGAATTATGTATGAAAAAATTATCCGCAAGGTGGGTGCCGCGATTGCTTACAGTTGACCAAAAACGCATTTCACAAGATTGTTTGGATCGCTTTAAGAGCAATACAACTGATTTTCTGCGACGGTTTGTTACTACAGACGAGACTTGGGTTCACCACTATATACCTGAATCAAAAATTCAGTCTAAACGATGGACAGAAAAAGGATCCCCGGCTCCAAAGAAAGCAAAAGTCATGAAATCAGCGAGGAAAGTCATGGCGTCAGTATTTTAGGATTCGAAGGGTATATCGATGATTGATTACCTTCCAAAAGGACAAAACATAAATGACGAATATTATGCTGATCTACTGAATAAATTACAAGTGTGTATTCGTGAAAAAAGACCCGGCCTGGAAAAAAAATCAGGATAATGCGCACGTTCACACGTGCATCACTGCGATGGCGAAATTTAAAGAATTAAATTATGATTTGCTACCACACCCAGCTTATTCTCCTGATCTGGCACCATCTGACTTTCATCTATTCCCTAAACTCAATTTAGGTGGACAAAGATTTGAAAATAATAGCGAGGTGATGTCTGCCGTGGACAGTTATTTTGAAGGGCTTAAAGAAAAGCGCTTCAAGGAGACTATGTCGAAAAATAAATATACTTTTAACACACTAATTCAAGTTTTTCTATGCTTGGCTAGCTATTTATCATCCTGCCCTCGTATTATATTTCGACATACCATCTTATTATAAGAAAAAAATATGTACACAAATACAATTAAGAGTTTAAATTAATTGGCAAGCCATTTTTAAAGTCTTTCGTCTACGAGAAACTACCTCTAAGGAGTTGGCATAAAGTCGCGAGAAAATCTAGATTTTATCAACAAATTAAATATGATAATATCTGCACTAATTTTAATGAAAAAATGAAAATGAAAAATCTAATTTAAAAAAAAAGTCTTTTATTTCAAAGATATACAGTCTACCCTGGGTATTCAGTGCTGAGGCTGATAGCAAAAAAGTTAAAAATATACAAAATGTGGCATTCGCTGTTTTCAAGGTATACAACTAGTT